TGGATCCCAAGTAGTTGAAAAGAAACTAATCAAGTATCTTGGTCAAATATTTGGATGAAAACTGATTTTAAAAATTTCCAAAAATCAGCAAAATAAAAAAAAAAAAGTCAAAATCTTAAAAACGCATATTTTGCTAAACTTAAATGGATTGTTTCATAAAGCCTTTGTGTACCTAAAATAACTTTCAGTGAAATTTTCATGTAAGCTTTCCTATAAATTTTAACTACTGAAACCTTTCAACGGCAGTGTAGATGTTGGCTAACAGGATGCATCAGAGCAACAAGAGGTCAAATATCTTAAGGAGTGGTTTTGTTGACAGGTTGGCAGTACTATGATTGATGTTCCCTTCTTAAGTATGTCCATTTACAAAAAGCCATGAACACAAACACAAATTTTCACCTACCAATCTTCACTGTTCAACATTGTCAAGAACAAAGAAGTTTCAAAACTATTTCAGGAAAACAAAAGACATAAATAGTTCAACAAATCCTGATTGATGACCAACCCATGAACAATTTGTGCAACCTTCTATACAATTTAAAAATATATCTATTCAACCATTGAAACAAGCAATGAGTTCCTTTCAATCTTTGGTCTATTCTCTTTACATCTTTTTCTTTAATACATTTGTCAATGTTTCAATCTTGAGCAATTGGCGTCATTTCTTTCCCTTTTTGATCTTACCATCATACAAATATTTTATATTTTTTAACATAATTTTTTATAAGATGAAGCTAAATTCCAAGTCTTTATTCAAAAGATAATTCCAAAAAAGAATTTTGACTACTGATTGAACAGCAATCTCTGTTTCCTGATGGGTTAAAATAGATGACTGACAAAATCAAATTTTGGTGAGCTGTCATCCCAGTTTCTGTAAAGAATGCCCAAACTAAATATAGCATTATCATACCTGCTATAGGTGTAAAGTGCTGACATTAAAATCTATTTGGTCAGAAATATACGAACAGAAAATAAAGAAGCTGAGACTTGGGTAAAAATGGATTTTTATTTAATAAACAACAAAAAGTTTTCAGTGTTCAAAAGTTAATACATTTCATTCTTGGAATCTAAGAAAAAAAAAATAGACAGATACCATTTTTAACCTTTAAGGAAACAACTTCATTTACTTTCTTGAGAAATCCCTTTTTTTCCCAGTTATGGATAAAATAACAAAGCAATACTGGTTGGGTCTTTTGCCTTGCATGGTAACCAGTCTAGGAAAACAACTTTGAATTTAAACCAGGTGCCAAACCTAAGTAAGATAGGAAAGTTGGGTGTGAGTCTAGCACCCTCCATAATTACTACAACAGCATCACCCATTGTGTAGTGTAAATGCTATCTTTATATTCCAAATGGGGTGAAAATAATTATGTCTGTAAAACAAAAAGATAACAGACTTCAAGAACTATAGGTAATCCCACTGGTGAGTGATTATCCAAGTGCTGTTGAAATCAATGGATATTGGGCCTGATGAAGGTTGGGTGATTGATTGATATTCCACAAGTGTGTAAGAATAAATTAACTGGTTTCATATTTGCAAATAAAAGTTTGGATTCACAAAAGTGTTTTTTAATCAAAATTTTGCAGAATTGATTCTTCTTCTGAATTTGATAAATTAGACTAATTTATGATGCTACTATCACATTTTCTTCACTATAATCTTTTGTTTTAGTGAAGTGGAAAGACGGAGACCCTAACCCCAGTTAACTATTGGTCACTAGCCCCCAAAATGAGATTCAACGGGTTTGTTGCAACTATTTAAACTATATTTTCAGTTGCATAAAATTCCTTAGAAGAAAAATAATTGTATAATAATTAAGTTTCAGTAAAGTCTTTCTGTCAAGACATATAAGGAATATAGCAGATATTTATCTGTTATTCTTTGGTCATGTGACTATGGGAGAGGGAACTGTTCTTGCAATAACTCCAAATCTTGTCTTTGATTAAAGAATACTTGTGACAAGATCATGGTTAAGATGATTGGTGATGGGACAGTGTGTAAAAGTGACAAAGTCAAATTTGAACCCAAGTTTATCTATCTTTTACCTAACCCTTGTGTCAACTTAAAATTCTGATTGAATATTAAATATTATGAGAAAATTTTAAATGTGTTGTAATATAAAGCCTGCTTTTCCTGTTTGATCAAATTTTATAAAGTATTGGGAAATTTTTAAAAATAAAAGGAAAAGTAACTACAACTAACATAAACATAAATCTTTTTTGTTGTTAATAATAATAATGATGGTCATGTGAGATCTGTCCTGACAAGTTACCACAGGCAAAGAAAATAACCAAAAAGAATTAATCTTAGAAAATAAATGAATTTGCTCTCTAAACCCTAAATTATTTTGAGAAATGAATAAAACAAAGACACCGGCCAATTTTGGCAATCAATTAATGAGTCTCTGGTAATTCAATCAAACTCTGGGGAAAATCTCAAAAATTCAAAACTGAAGTCATAATATTTATTTCAAATAAAATTCTACCATATAATTTCAAGAAATATTTCACCTAGACCCTTATATTAACCAAGCAAATGTCAAAAAAAAAAAAAAAAAAGAAGAGATATGTCTCTTCAGATTCCCTTTATTATGTGTGAACTGCTATGACTTCTTGGGAAACATAGTGGAGTGGTTTCCTGTTGCTTTTAACAGTTTTGAATTCAGGTTTTCCTTCTCTTAGACCCATTGTCAACATATTAAAACAAAAAAAAATCTCTGTGACATTACTTGTTAGCCAATGCAAATCCATGTAATTCAGAATGTATATAAAAAGAAACAATTTAATGAAAAATTTAATTAATATTTAAAGAACAGGTAATTATACTAAAGTACTTTGACAAACCAATTTGAAAAATTCTGGATTAAGCAACAACCTGTTCTAATTAAAATCACTTTGTAGTTTTAATGTAAAATTTGTTTGTACCTCCAACTAAAAAGATGAAACACTCTTCAAAAGAACACACAACACAATATGTGAGAGAAGGGAACAGATGAGGATTACAGCATTTTGAGCAACAAGAAATCCAAGATTTTATTGCTTTTAATCAAATAGAATTATGAGAGAATGATTATTAAGAATACAATGCAAATAGCAAATTTCTACCAAGTATTCTTTTTTCTGTCATGTCTTTTTTTTAATATAGTCACATCATAACAAACTGTTTTCTGTTACAGTTTGCAAACTTACCAAACAATTCAATGTTTATTACAATTTGAAGATGTTAAGGAACATGTCAATGGTTGAAAAATGAGGCCCTATATGACTTATCCATAGAAACATGTCAGCAAAATGTTAATTGCCGAAATTCACTGCACATCTTTTTTGGGCAGAGTTGTTGCTAGAGATGAGAAGTAGTTCTTTTTTTTTTTTTACAATGTTAAGTGCTGTCATCAGTGACTCAGTCCTGATAATAATTTAGAAAAAACATTTCATCCAAAGATGTCTTCCATTACAAAATTTTAAATGAAACTAGACACAGCTGAAGTTTAATGCCAACAACTTTGATATTTGAAAAGATAAAATTCCCACATATTTAGTGAAGAAAAAGGAGGTCATTTTTCAATACAATAAATAGTCTTCATATTGCTGACTTGATAGCTTGGAGTGAAATGATCCATCAACTATATTTCTCTTGATCATGCTCTAACACTTTTTTAGATATTTGCAAAACTATTTGAATGGATAGATTTACTTAAAAAAACATTGAAAATTAGGTTATCAAAAGGGGAGAATATGTTAATGATTTGTTTCCAAATATAGAAACAGAACTTCATTACAAACTAATATATATTCCTATTGAATAGACTTCAGCAATATTTTGTAGGTTTTCCCCAAACAAAGAAAAAAAATCAAAATAGATATGTCATGAATTCCCATTACTTCTACAAATGTTATTCAATCCAAAGAAGTGTGTAAATTTTTTCCTCCAGCAAACATAAAAACCTTACAGTCCATCTACTGCCAAAATGACTAAGAGTAAATAAAATAGCTTATCTTTTATTTGTTTATCCAACACCTGTTCAGAATGCTGGCACTATCACACACACACATTTTTAAGTACTAGAAGACAATACTAAAGTTAATTTATAATCTTAAATAATTAAAGATTTTAGTAGTTCAAAATTCATCATTTTTTATAGCTTGACTTTAAAATGTTTTTAATTATTTCTTATTTTATCCATGTTAGGAAAATATATTCTATAAAACAGAATGTATCTTTATAAATGCATTGGTCATGCAACCTGATCTCCTGTACTTAGTAATGAAAGATCTTGTTATGGTGACATGGAGATCAATCTGAAAGTATGTTTTCTTTCTTATTTAGTTTAATATTCAGAAAATAATTGAACATAAACAAGAATAAGTAGAGAATAAGTTTTTGATATTTTATTAGCACAATTACTTAAATGTTGATGTCATTTTTGTAATAAATTAGTTACTGGCATAGTACCCATTAAAAATGATGGGACTAATATATATATATATATATATATATATATATATATAAGGATAGATACATAGATAAATAAATATAAATAGGCCAAGTTAGATAGATAGTGCACATCCATAAAATACATTGTGTATTTTGTGGGTAACACTTTTCAGTGCACAGATACTACACTTTCAATCAAGGCAGAAGTGCTGACTCAAATGGAAATGATCCTATTATTTTTTTTTTTATATCTATGATGTTAATATGAAAATCTTTAACACATCAAGAAAAAGAAAAACTTATAAAATCAAATACTTGAAAGTTTTTTTCAACATCAAAATTTTACAAACTGGAAATATGTATTTTGCTGTCAATGAAAAATAAAAAAGGAACTGATAAGAATCAAAATAAAAAATTCAATAAGCAATATTTATTACCACACCTTTCTGGTCTATATACATACATATAAAAAAATATTTTCATAGGATAATTGTAAACAGGTCAAAAACTTAAAAAAAAAAAAAAAAAAAAAAAAAAAGTTTAAAATCCAGCTACATTCACACATTTAATTGGCAGTTTCTTCAGGGATGGGCAAAGCTTTTGTTTCACTCCAGAATACAAAGGTAACACTGTTGCTTTCACCTGGTGATGAGGGAAGATGCCATTCCTACAAAATAATTACATCACATCAACAGGTAGAAAAATCAAGTTTCTTTAGAGAAAGAAAATTATGAAACAAGAAATCAAATCATATCACAAACAAAAATGAATTGAATTTAACAAACATTCTATTCATTAAAATGAACTTGATAAAATTTTATAATTATTATTTATACTACATGTTAAAACCTGTATTTTAAATTGAAAAATTACTTCTATGTTTTTAAGTTATGTCAAAAGTTATATTTGCAGTTTGGCCAAAATGTTTGTCAGTTGAAAATTTGAAATAATAAAATTTGAAAATTTGAATAATAAATTTTTCTGGCAATATGCAAAAGTAAATTTAAACTCAAGTCACAATTGTTTATTAAATTTACTATTAAATATTTAGCATCAATAATGAAAACATTTAATACAAAAATAAAAAATATTATAAAAAGTAATTTATCTGTTGCTATTATTTATCACCCTTTTGTAAATGTTTAACATGCAAGCTTAGGAGAAATAATGATGGTGATATTAACATATTTCTTTAATAAAAAGATTTGGTTAAAAGATAAATTTCATTTGAAAGGCATTTTTAAGCTACAAAATATTTTTCTATATTTTCTCAAACTAACATTCAAAAGAGATTTCCTAATGTATAATCTCATCATTATAACACTTTGAATAAATAATATATAAACAATTTTTAAGGCAGATTAAATTGTCTTACAGTTTTTATTAGAATCTTATTTTAAAATAGTTTTCCTCTTTTGTGCTGCTTCACAGTGCTTTGTGCCATCTCAAATATTAACCAATTTTTATATAAACAAATTTTCAAAATTCAAATGTTCAAAATGTTGCAAATTTAAACTAAATATGTAAAACAAAAATTTAGTTTGAAACACCAAAATATTGGTGTTTAAAACTAACCCACCACAGATTTTTAACTAAATCAAGGGTTTCAATGTTAAAAAAAAAAAAAATTAATCCCATCTCACAATTTCAAACAAAATCATAGACTTTAGTTTTAAAAAAATTATGTGCCTCATATTTATTTACTAAGTGTTTCTGTGTTTAAAAAGTTACTTTGCCTCATACTAATTTCATACTAAAGAGTTTTAGTGTTACTGTAAAGTTTTTAACATTAAAACCATAGATTTAGTTTTAAATAGTAGCATTTAGAGTATTTCAACCTTTGGAATTCATTTATATGAATTACTTTTTAATATTTGTTGAGGCAGTATGTAACAGAGCAAAATAAAATTTAGATTTTAAATTGAAAAATTTAAAAATAAAATGACATGCCAAAAAATGGCTCTAGTTAATAACATTTGAATAAATATAACCAAGAATAAATATTCTGAAAGCATTTAAAAAATTTTTATACATATTTTTATATGAATTCTATTTTATCATTTCTTTTCAACAATTCTGGTTTACAACTTTAAGCAAAGTTTATACTTTATTGAAAAAGTGAGTTTTATAAAAAGCAGTAAACAAACCGGATGGCCAGAGAGTTCATCAGGTGCAATGTGTTTCCAGTCCAGCAGTTCATCCATTGTTAGATTCTTTTTAATCTATAGAAAATATGAAAATATATTTTGTAAGCAGTTAATATGTAGAGCAACTACATGAAGTTCAGAATTTTATATTTTTAAATCATTTTATTTATTTTTTAAAAATATATTTGTTGAAATGCTTATGATTTTTTTTATTTTGTATTCATTTGTAAATTTTGCAAATTAAGATAATTTCCCCATTATTCTATTTCTTTTATAAAGTTTAAAAGCACCAAGAAATCACATGATTTTTATGATATAAATTAAATGTAAAAAAAGAAATTATAGATTGTCAAATGAATCTCGAGACATAAAGTAATTTTTTAGGAATGGTAGGGTTAAACCACAACTAGTATAATTTTGAAGCATATAATTTGGAAAAATAAAAACAAATAGCAGGCTTTGCTATTGCTTCACAAAGTAAGATATATTCACTACTTGAAATCTTTGAAATAAAAATAAATTGGCTTGTTATAGTTAAGGAAAGTTTTACAAATAGATGCCAACTTGTTGAAGGCCAAGTAAAATGCACATTTCAAATACTTTTCTGCATAATATAAGATGATATTCCTAAACAGAACTATTTTTGAAAATCAAAACACTCCTTGAATAAAAGAACAGTAATGAAGGACAGTTAATTAATGAAATAAACTTTTTAAAATCAGTATGCAAATTAGTTAAACCTGAAGAGTGATATTGCCTAGAAGTAGATAATATATAATACAGATATTGAGTCTTTGGAGGGATTTTAATGCAGACTTATCATCTCTCAGTTAAATTCTGTCCTTGGACAGAGGCGCTCTCAGAAACTTCTCTGTCAAAGGACAGAGGGGCAACTGAGGAAAATTATACTGAAGAGGTGCCCAGCCCTGGGGAACAGCTGCCCGAGGATGCACCCTCCCATTGCACAAGAGGGAGGGATCGGTGCTCGCACCGAGGCCAGCGCAACCAACAGTTGCAGGGGCTGAGGGGAATTTTTGATTCTGCCTGGGTGCACGCACTCGGGTCCCCACATTAATCCGACCTTGTGTCCGAGTAAACACCGTGTAAATTCCTCTTTGGAGGGTGTACACATATGGATACTTACCTGGGCTGGTGGTATCACGGCTATGACTAACTTGGACCGGCTCCGGCCTGGACAAGCTAAGACCAGCTTGGACCAGTGGCCTGAGTGAAAACACTCGGGTACCCACGTTAAAAACAGACCTTGTGTCACAACCTGACTCAGTGGGGGTGGTCAAGTAAATACACTTACCTGCCCCAGGGCTCCATCCCTGTGCTGGTGGTATCATGGCTACAACTAGCTCAGACTGGTTATGACTAGCTTAGCTGGTCTTGGCTGATCAGAGCTGGTCCTTAGACCAGCGGCCCAAGTGAAAACACTTGGGTCCCCATGTTAAAAACTGACCTTGTGTCACAACCAGACTCAGTTGTGGGGTCAAGTAAATACCATGTAAATTCCTCTCAAGGAGTTTCTAACACATTATTTATCATGTCTCAGTCTTTGGGCAAAGTGTGCTCAGGGGCAGCTCAATCAAAGGACAGAGTCGCAACTGAAGAAAATTATACTGAGAGGTGCCCAGCCCTGGGGAACAGCTGCCCAAGGCTGCACCCTCTCATTGCACCTGAAAGAGGGATTGGTGCTTGCACCAAGGCCAGTGTAACTGATGGTTGCAGGAGCTGCAGGCAATTTTTGTTTCTAGCCAGGGGGTACGCACTCATTCTCCACATTAAACCGATCTTCTGTCACAAGCTGACCTCATGGGGGTCGAGTAAATATCAAATTACTATAAAGATGAGCTGGGGCTTTTTAATCTCATCTTTATGGGAGAAATGAGATCCAATTTTGCATTTATTCATATAGATTCCATAATATAGGTTTTACTTAATTAGCTATTATTTTTCTCTAACTCTTCAAATGTTGAATGTATAACTAATTTCTATTTTCTCATATTTATACTATATCAATTTTATCTTATAAATTGCCCGTTCTAAAACCCATGAAATAAAAATAATTGTTTGTACAGAAAATAAGGATCTATATACATCAAATCATCTTTAAATTAAGTGGCAGCAGAAGAATTATCGTTGAACTTTTAAAAGGTAAGCTTAAACATTAATTCAATACTTAAATACAGCGATCAATTTTTACTTCTACTGTAGTTTATTGATGCCTATCATATCTACTCCTCCCTAGCTATTGTGATGAGGGTCAAACCAAGAGTCCTCCACAGGAACTAGCTAAAAAAAGACAAACTCTGATGATCGCAAGAGCGTGAAATCCAGGGTCACAAACTCACATCAACACAACTAAGTATGTGTGTATATATATATATATATATATATATATATATATATATATATACACACACACACACGTGTATGTGCTAAATTATTTTAATCACAATATATATAATAAATGAATAAATCACCAAATTAAAAATGATGAATAAATCACCAAATTAAAAATACAAAAGGAAATAACTTTCTTTTTACATTTTGTTGATTTGTTGAAAATGTAATGTTCTCATTTTGATTTGTATATTGTATAAAAAGGTCCTTTATATTTTGAGAAGGTTCTAGCAAATATTATATAAAAAGGTCCTTTATATTTTGACAAAGTCTAAATCAAAATTAAAAATGAATAACATTAAAATTCTCATTTTTGTGAAATTAGTTTTGACCAAATCCAGAAAGAAGCATCAAAAATTAAACATCAATTATTTACAGAAAGAAAATTGGAAAAAACAGAATTATATAAAACAAAAAAATGGGTGCAAAGACCATAGAATTTAAAATATTTAAATAGCAGACATAATCAATTGATGCTTCATTGCAGAAAAACAGATATCATCAATTTTCCCAACAATAAAGGCATCAATCATTCATGAATTGAGTCTAAATGACTAATTGGCAAATTCTAGGATTCATGATATTAATATTTATTGTGATTCATCCATTTCCTGGAGTATTTTCCTGTAAAGCTGAAGAACAAGCCAAAGACATTGCTATGTCTGTATACATACTTCTCAAAGAAAAAAAAAAAAGAGGCAAAAAATGGTGACAACTAGTTGCAATGAATGCACAATTGCATTGTGTAATGGAATCCTTCAAGGAGTATTATAATGTTAAATATAAAATTTGCAAAACTAACATTTATTTTATTTCCCTTTCTTCTTCATTTTTATAAGATAAAATATTATTTATTGAGTTTTTGTATATAATTAAAGCAAATATTCACATTTTTTACCCATCTGTTGTGTACATATATTCACACTTTTCCAACTGTTTAAGGGCTAAAGCTAGAAAAAATGCTGTATAGTCTCTGCCTTGGACATCCTATCAAAAATGTTGGCAAGGATCAAAACATTTCTCATTGAATGGCTGCAGAATACAATGGTTGAAGCTTGAGTTAAAATATAACTTCTAGCAACCTGTCTAAAACTGGCTTGAAAGACACACTGTGTCTAGAAGCTAACACATTCAGGTGAGACTAGATTTTGAAAAAGCACACATCAATGATTTGGAAGGAATGTTGTATTGACACAAATATCAAAGCTATGTAATGGAAAATTTGTGCTTCTCACAATTCAGCAAGCATTGTGCCTGTAATAATTTAAGTTTCTCTGCTAAATTGCTTAATATTTTAGAAGGAAATTTCACTTGAATTATAATTTCATCTTCCAGTGACTCAAAACATACAGCTGATGCTATTTAGAAATGGTTCATATGAAAGAAAATTAAAATTCGGGTTGGTCAAAGGCTAAATTTGAAATTTTGCCCACAAAATCTGTGATGAGAAATTTACCAATTATTCTTGACTCACCTGTCCCTCAACTTCTGTTTGTGGCGTTCCCAACTGACACTGACGAACAGGAGCTGGTAATTTGTTACGCGATTCATCATTAGCCTCACCCTGGCTATTTTTGCAGGGACATTTTAAGAGTTCATGTGTATCACAATTTGTTTGCTCATTTAGGGAAAAAAGGTCCTGAAATCACACAGCAAATAACATTCATCACATTCAGAATAAAACATCTTTATTTTTTATTAAATGAAGATTTATTTTTTTTTTTTTTTTTTTTTTTAGACACTACCATATCTTTTATATGCAATTTTTAAAAACTTTCAATATTTTTACTCTTAACATTAAGCAAAAATTTAAAACAACTTTCAAATGAAATTTTGTAATGCATTCTTTTTTTCATCAAATTTAATTTCCTTGCTCTTAAGCATTATAGTTATACCAAAAATTACAAACTAATCTAATATTCACTGAATTTTTTTTTTTATTTTTTACCCTGCAATCTGAGAGAAGACATTTAAGTATTAAAACAAAATGAAATTGTTAAAAATATAAAATATTAACCTAAGTCAGAAAAGAATGATTTAGTTCCTGCTACTGATGTGTTGTATTATCTCAACAATGTTTTGCATGTAATTGAATAACATATTCCAATGTTGTAGCAACAAATGGCTTGTAAATCATGTTAGTAAAAAGCTTTACATGTTCTTTTTACTATTTTCTAATGTGAGTGTATAGAACTAATTACGGTCATTTAATAATTTTGATTTAATGGATTATTTAGCTACTTGTTAAATCTTTAGCACTCTGTAAGCAACTTTGTTTATTGTTAAATAACAATGTGTTTAAATTTTGTGGTTGTGTTGTCATGTCTTGCTATGGCAACAGAAAAGGATCTTGACAAAGATGCTTGAAAAAACGGTGGAAGGGTAATAATTATGAATAATGCAGCATGCTAAGGGTTAAATACCTAAATAGTCATCAATAATAATAAAAGATTTACAATGCAAAAATCTTTTCATTTAAGGATTTAAATATTACACAAAAGTTGGGATTCTGTCTGTAGTTGTTGTTTGAATCGCAGTAAAGCTGAATTGTGAATTTCATTGCAGGCATCTCATATTCCAATCTTCTTGCCAATCTGGTTCACATAACAGCTATATGTGGATTTAAATTTGGTTATAAATCCTAGAGATGTCAATGAGAAGAGGAAATGAAGTAAAACCCCATAGATAACCAAATTGCTGTAGAGGGCAAATTCAGCTTTCCAAACAAAATTGGATAGGCTGATAGGAAACACCCTGTCACTTAGGTAATCCAGGATACATCCATATAACAATTCAGAATTTTTGCATCATTAAAAGTTTCCCAGAAGGAGGAGAGGTCAATATGATTTATTATACTGACTCTAAGTTCTTCCAGAGAGAATTTTACTTTTCCTTTGTCTCGTGCATCAATTACACATCCACTCAAACTCTGCTTATTGATTTGCCGCTGGTAGATTTTCTCTTCAATAGTTCCCTGAAAATAAATAAAGCACATTTAAGAAAGAAAGAAAATAATTTTAACAAACAAAATAAGAGATCAGTAACAAGATAAAGCTAATGATACAATTTACAATATGAGAAGAAATGATTAAAAACAAAACTAAAAAACAACATTTCTGTTCTGAATTTCTGAAATAAGGATTTATCATTATTTACATTCAGACTATTGTTCTCATTTTTGTTGTTATCATATTTCAGTCATTTTGCCATATGGACTTCTTCATGTGTTTTAAGTTTGAAATTCCCCTGAAGGCTACCTGTATGAATAAACACCTGGAGAAAAAAAAACAAAAAAAAAACAACAACAACAGAGGGCACAATGGCCAAAATGTCATGATAACAAAGATGAAGACAATAGTCTGAATGTAAAACTACAGTTTGGTTCCTGGAAGTTAACCTTTCATATCTTGCAGATTTTATAAATTTTTCAAAATTCATTCTTTCAAAAGTTGTTGGGTAAAAATTTTTAAAAGTTTACAGAAATTAATTCAGGCTTTTTATAAAGCAAAATGTTTACAGTGATTTTTATTTACAAGAGCAAAATAAACCTCTAATCTCTTAAAATGTTTAAAAATAAGTACAGCAATAGATAGTTTACAAAAATGAAAAAAGAAAATTTTACAGTATTTTAGGGTCACAAATAAAACTTATTTAATAGAAAATGATAAAAACATTGCTTCATATTAAATACAACAAAAATAAATTATTAGTTAAAGTAGGAAGAAAAAGTCACTAATTTAAAATCTCTAGGTTTTTAACAAAAGAAAAATAAGTTTAAGTCTAAAAATAACTCACAGTTGTCAACAATCGGTAAAGGTGGACTTTCTTTTTCTGTCCATCCCTCCAAATACGAGCCATTGCCTGAAACATAAAATAATTATAAATAAATGTATGCAGAATTATTAGCAAAAGCTACCAATAAACCAAATAACTTCCAGAGAAATTTTTTTTAAAAACAGATACTAATACCATAGTACTTGTATTCACAACTATCAATTAGCAACAGTTCTGATATCCATAAGAATAAGTAACCACACACACAATATATATATATATATATATATATATATATATACATACACACACACACACAGAGAAGAATTATTTAAATTATTCTGCTTGTACACAGATCAATAACATTAAAGAGATGCCATTTTTCAATATTTATGGAAACAATTTCATTTATTTTCTTGAGCAAAGCATAAATCTGTTTTTTTACAGTTATGTATAAAATAACAACCCAATCTTAGCTGGGTTCTCTTAACTAGACTAGAAAAATGATAATTCTGAATTTAAACCAGGTGCCAAGCCTTGGGTGTGAGTCTAGCAACCACCCTCCATAATTACTGCAAGAGCATCACCCATTGTGTAGTGTAACTGCTACTTTATATTCCAAATGGGGTGCAAATAATGTCTGTAAAACAAAATCATGATAGATTTCAACACCTATGGTTAATTCTACTGGGGAGTGATTATCCAAAATGCTGTTGAGGACATTGGGCCTAATGAACCTTCAGTGTGATAAAGGTTGAAAGTGTTTAAAAGCAATAAAATTTTTTCTGTTTTTTTACCTGCAGATCATTAGCAGGATTCCAATCAATATCATACAGGATTAATCGAGATGCTCCTACTAGATTCAGGCCAACACCTCCTGCTTTGGAACTTAGTAAAAAGATAACTGAAAATAAAAGAATAATAACAAATTATATATATATATATATAGTAATTCTTTGGTATAATCCATTTACGTCCTAACACAGCATATGTTAAAACTGACTCACAAAAGAGTGTTCCATGTTTATTTTCATTAAACAAAGCAAATTTTCTTTATAAATAAAATAAACACAACTGATACCAGAAACAGTTTGAAAAATCCTGCGAATTTTAAAATTAAAATTTATAGGTGATAATGGTCATTTACTAAAGGTAATATATATATATATATATATATATATATATATATATATTATATATTCATGAATTATTCATACAAAAAACAAATACAAAGGTTAATGATTTAATTGGCAAGAAACCCCATCGTCGCAAACAATTCAAATAACATACAAAAACCCTGAACCTGTTTATGAATGAAAAGATCCTTGTTTTTATAAATTTCTGTTGCATAAGTTCTTATTATTTTTACAAGCTTTCGTCTGTTCCTACAGACATCCTCAGGTATGGAATAGATTTTGTTCTTGTTTTTACTCCCAGTAATAAGAGGACAACGAAAATATATGTATTGTAATCCGAAAAATGCTATTAGAAAAAAGTTGTTTTTGGAGTGTGCAGTCGCAACGCTGAGTTTGAATTTAAATTTTACAATTGTGCGTTCTTGTACAAATATGGTGATAAGTGAATTCTTTTTTACTGGTAAATTTTCTGTCAAAGTGGCATGAACTATATTGTTCAATAATTACAGTAATGTCGCACTTATTATCCAAAAGTTGCACTTGGATCAGTTATTTTAATTTCAATAAAGGTGCAATTAATTTACAAATTCATGAATTATTCATACAAAAAACAAATACAAAGGTTAATGATTTCATTCATAAACAGGTTCGGGGTTTTTGTATATTATTTGAATTGTTTGCGACGATGGATTTCTCGCCAATTAAATCATTAACCTTTGTATTTGTTTTTTGTATGAATAATTCATGAATTTTTTTAAATTAATTGCACCTTTATTGAAATATATATATAGAATATACCAGAATTTAAACAAAGTTATATTAAATTCAACTGACAAGGTTTGTCTTATTAATTTTTATTATATTTTTTTCAATTTGTGAATAAGTTGTAGCATATCTAGATTGAAATTGTAGAGAAACTTTCCTAAGTTCACATTTTTATTCTGGAAATTTTGACCATTTCTGTCATTATCATTATTTTTGATAATGACCGAGACAGTCAAATGTACTCAAACAAAACATTAACTGCTATAATATATATAATAATAAAAATACTTCTTACAATGATTTGAGCCAGGCATATTAAACTGCCGTACAATGTTCATTCTTGTACTAGTTGGTGTTTGGCCATCCATCCTGCAGCAATTATAACCTTGATTGCTACAAAAATCAGCAAGCAAGTCTAATGTCTACAAAGTAAAGAGAACATTTAAAATAATTAACACTTTTCATTATTGATTATAACTGGTTATTTAAAATTAAACTTTAAATCATTTGTTGTGCATTAAAAGAAAAAAAAGTTCTTAAAATATTTAGAATGGAAGATTCAACAAACTCATGATTAATATGCTAACAATTTTTTTATTTGAAAAAATTGTATAGCAGACCCCAAAATTTAATGCAATAATTTTAGAGATTGATTCAAAATGATAGCAGAAAAAAAAAAAAATCTTTTAAGAAAATACCTGGGCATCTTATGCTCAGTGACATAATTGATTTTCTTTAACTACAACCACCCACCCCAGTTTATTGATCAGGGCATACTTGTTATATTTAAGGCTTACTACCTTAGGAAAAATACCAGCAGACAATTGGGAAGAAAATTTCTCTTAAGACTGCAATGAAAAACATTCTCAGTTCATGATTCAGAGTTCCTAATGACAAGATGATTATGTGTTATTGATTTTGTTAGTTTCCTTAAACAAATGAAAGAACTTTATCAGAAAATCATTTAATGGTTTTGGGGATGAAGAAAATGTCAAAGAATTAATATAATTACATTTAGAGGAGCTTAACAAAAATGTTTTGCTCAATTAAGAAAGTTAGAAAAACAAACAAAACTACAAATTATACATCAAAACATAATCTTATGCACATGAAAGAAATTACTCAAAGAATTCAGTGAAATTTTTCACCCAGTTGAAAACAAAAACAGTAATGTTGAAACAACCCCAAACATGGAATGCAGCAGCCAAATTTGCCACAATATAGAAGCATCTATACACTGAAATAATGAAATGTTCATATAGGGTATAAACTTACCAAAATACCCTCAGTAAATATTTTATTAAAAAATAAAATGCTTCTTTTTTTTCTTATTATCCTGAAACATTTTTATCATTCTTTGCTATTATGTATTAAAAATTGTCTTAAAACTCTTAAATTTTTTTGAAATTCACGATTAATTGCATTATTTCCCATAAGTTTTAAGTTTGATCAGGATACTTTTTGAAGATGCAAGGTTAACTAGGGTTTCTCATAAAAAGACAGAGGAAAATATGGCTAAAAAAATGAAGATAAAAAAGAAATTTTGAAAAAAAAAAAAAAAAAATTGTCCTTTTATTCTATAAAAAAAAAACAAAAAAAAAAAAAAACAAAAGAAAAATAATGAAAAGGAAAAAACTCAAAGAAAAATAAAAGATATCAAACAAAAAAAAAAAAAAAAAAAAGGAAAATAAACACCTTCTTTACAAAGTCAAATAATAGAATGAATTGTGTCTTTACCTTTGTGTAATTTGCAACCAGAACCACTTTATCTCGTGGAGTGGCTGTGTAAATCTGTTTAAGTAATGATGCAAGAACACTAAGCTTTCCTCCATCCTCCACAAGATTGTCAGGAACATTGTAACCTTGTGGATAAAAAACCAAACCTTGATAGACACTGCCTTCCTGCAACAAACCAACATTAATTTCTAAAATTCAAAACATAACAAAAAACAAATTCATGTAAACAATAAAGCAAGACATAAATTCTAGAACATTAATCCTTCTGTACAAAATGCTATTTTGATTTGACAAATTAAAACACTATGTGCTTTCCCTGTAATAATTACTTGCTGATGGAAATACAACTGTTTCTAATGACAAATTGGAATTATCTAAACAAAACATTGTATTTTATGAATTTAAAAAGACAGAGAAAGAGAAAGCCAGACTAAGCAACCTGAGAAAACAAGTTCCCACTTTTTAAAAAAAAAAATGCACATTTTTACGACTTCTCTAAATTAAAAAAAATTAAAATTTAAGGACAAAATAAAACAAAGTTTACTTCTTCATCACTTTCATTTGATGTAAGGGACTGGTAAAGCAAGGCTGGGTGGTTGCACAATTTCTTTAGGGCAGCAATACTGATGAGGTGAGAGGGGCCATCATAATGGCCAGCCAGGAAACGACGTATTGTCTGAGAATTAAGGATCTGCCGATACAGGGTCAATTGAAGACTTGAAGGACGACAGAACACAACAATTTCAACTGCAAATACCAAAAAGTTAGATTTGATACACAGAAAAGGTGAATTAATTTTAAAATATCATTCAATTCTAATAAATTTGAGTTTATATAAACATTCAATCATTAGTAATTTTGCAAACATTTTCTGTGGAAAAATTGTGTTAAAAATGGAAATTTATAACAAAAGTCCATATATTAAACTTATTCATATGCATTGTCCTAATGCATAAAATACTTTCTACACTCCTGCAAAATAAAGACATTCCTGCACACCATCTAATACAGGAAAATACTTGTTGACAACACCAATATACTACACTACAAAAATAATAAACAAAATTTCAAATTCTCAAGGCCCTGAAGATGATATTGGAAAAGATCGAATGTACTTGGATTAAAGATGAATTTCATCTTAACATCAAGAAATTGATTAGACAATTGGAAAGGATCAGTATAAAAATAAGTAGACCCAATATGTCTATATTATTCAATGAAACCTGTTTGAATGATATGCTGCCTATACACACACACACACACACATATGTTATTTCATGCACATGTGTAGACGTGATAATGTCAACAAAGCCCAGTCCAATGAACTCCTAACAGATAAAACGTGTCACAAAAATACTTTTCCAGTTTGTCATATATATATATATATATATATATATTAAGGCATTAAAAACTAGAAATGTTGTATTGCAGGCTTGGTTGGTATAATTTTATCTTTCCTTCCTTCCCTGTCCATTCATTCATGTCACCCATGACAGACTTTTTTCTTTTTTCCTCATAATCTAAATTCCCCGTTAACAGTTCTGACGAGAGGGGACGAAACCGGTCGACTGGTGTGTGTTTTATTTTAAACTTATCATGGCCTGCAATACAACATTTCTAGTTTTTAATGCCTTAATACGCTTTTGTACCGTTTCTAATCTATTTAAATATATATATATATATATTATTGGTGTGAATAAAAGCTACAATCAGTATTTACAAACAACTATTATCATAAATTTTATTTTTTCTTAGCTATTAAAAATATTTTAAAACAGTAATATTTTTAATGTTACAGCCTGTCTGAAGTTATTATGCAAATCACATGAAGTTAGTGTTGTAGTTCTGCTTATATTAACGAGATGTTGCAATTGTAAAATTAGTGCTAAGCATACACAATGCTATACCTTTAGGTGGGAGATATTTGTTGTTGACATCCTGTGTTCGCCGTAAGAGAAATAATTTGGTGAGTCGGCTAAGTTCTGTTGCTCGCTCATTACCAAGTGTCACATCTTCTTTGGTTGCAGAGGGTTGGCGTGAAGCAAGAATAGGCTGTTCATATACTTTGTGGAAAGCAGTTGATGTACCTAGCAAAGAAAAACAAAGAAATGAAACAAAAACATATTCACTGACTAAATATATATAATATTATATATGTATTATAATATTATAATCCTAGCACTATACATAGGAACATGAAAAATTCATGACCTTTTAACATTATACAAATTTTATAAAAAAATTTGTTTTTTTTTAAAGATTGAGTTAGTAAATAACAAGTAATAATCTACATTAATTGTATTCTGCACATTTGCTTTTCATAATCAATTTTCACTTTAATCTTTGGTTTTAAGCTGAAATTTTTTCAACATGGCAAGAAATATTTTGTAGCCATTACAATTTATTCCACTTGTTTTACTTTATTATCATCATTATATTTACTTGAACAAGCAGTAGTTGTAACTACTACTTGTAACTACAAGGTAATTTTATTAAACTTTATATGAAAATGTTTTTATTTCTATATAATACTGTTCTAAAATTAGTATAGTTATTTAAGTTGTTTAATGTTTCACATTTAAAATATTATGAACATTTTTAATATAAATCTAATTTCACATTTTTATAAACACATTCATTTATCAACATTTGCTTTCACAAAGAAATTCTACTCAAATCTTAGTAATTATCATTTAAATTCCTTCTAAATTTTCTTAGTCAAATTTTATTTTTTTGCAAAAGATTAGCATTGAAAAAGTAAAAATGAATAAATAATAAATAAAAGGTAAAAATAATAAGTAAAAGATAAAATTATACTTAAAAAGTAAAAATTAATAAATAAAAGTAAACAATAAAACTTGATTTTAAGGAAACTGACCAGACACTATACAATTCCCCAAAACTGTATGTCAAACCAAAGATAAACTAAAAATTTTTAAAATACCTCAGGAAACTAAAACAACTTTAAAAAAATGTAGTGTGTATAAGTGAAAAAGAATTAAGCTATTTAGTAATGTTGAGATTGTAAAAAGAATTCAATGCTAATATAAAATGTTAAGATTAAGATAAGGTTAACAAGGACAAAAAATAAAAATAAAAAAAATAAAAGCTTTCAAGAAGCCTAACTAATCAGGAATATGGGTTGCCAACAACTGAATAAAACACTGATTATTTAATAGACTTGGATGAATAGAACACTCATTTATTATTTAATAGTAATACATCGACTTTTTAAAAATATTTGTGATGTTTTGGCAATAGCAGATCTATAATAAAAAAAATTGAAGAAAAGAATTACCAAGAACTCCTGGGTTGGAAAATTCTACAATTGCATAAAATTCTTGCATGTCATTTTGAATGGGAGTGCCAGTAAGAACAATTCGTTTCCTGACTGGAAGACTGGAAAGCAACTGAAAACAGAAAAAAAAAAAAAAACTATAATGTTTAACAAAATAAAAGGTTTAAACTTACAAGTTGATTATAAGTATTCCAAAAAAGTTATATTTTTATTTATATAAATTATTATAAAATAAATTTATTTAATACAAATAATGCTGGTCAAATAAAATTTTTCTTTGATTGCATAAAGTTAAAAACTATGGCAAGTAATTGAATGACAAAAAAAAAAAACAGTGACAAGTTTTGTTTTCTAAACATCTGCTTCAAACTAAATGTTTTTTAAACTTTAATGAGATCATATTATAATTAATTAATATACATATATATATATATATATATATATATATATATATAAGTTTCATATGAGAGAACAGAGGAGGCTATATATTACTTTTATAACAGAAGGATAATTACTCGCAGTAAGTATAATTATTTTTCCATTTAACAAAGTATTTCAATTTAAAATTACAAACTTTAAACTATTATATTTAAAATTTAAGTAATATAAATGCACTTTACAAAAAGGATCTAAGTCATTTCTCAGGATGGATTTTAGTGGCTTGGATTGAGGAATTAATGTTACATTACCTTAATTCAGTTTAATCGAGGAGGTTACATTCACTTATGTGCTAATACCTTTGGGAAAGGGTTTTATGAATCCTTTTAAATAACTTCTCCTGCCATTCAATCCAGCTATGGGCAAATAATACAGGACTGGGTTCCCATATAGCCTAAATAATCTGGATGGCAACTGGTCTAGGGAGAAGGACAACTCTGAATTCAAAACCTGCAGAGGTTCGTTTGGGGACCCTGTTTGGCAAATAAATAATTAATTAATAAATAAATAAGGTCTCTGTATTCGACCCTTCAAAAAAGTGTAGATGGTCCTTCAGGAAACCTTCACCACTATAATCAAGTCTCATGTGCTGTTGTCGGGCTGTCGGTTTCCTAGGAATCGATCTGCTTGACCCTCATATGTCGAATTCGACAGGAGAGTCGAGTATATATATATATATATATATATATAAAAAAATAATAAATCAAGAAAAAAACTTTAAAAATCCATTTTGCTTATAATTTGTTTTGTGAATATTTTTATATTCATCTCTTCAGACCAAAAGCTCTTATAAAGAACTTTTATTATAATAATGCTCTGTAATTGAAATTTACATTGAGCTCTCTTTGGATTAATATCCTCCTTGGAATTATCCCTACCAGTCACAAATTGGTATTATATATATATATTATTTGATAATTCATATGGATAATTCCAAAGAGAGCTCAATGTAAGAACAGATCAAATGATAATGATGGAAGCAGAGATTTTAGAAATCCATGATATTTTATTTCGCAAGATCAATTATATATAGTGGAGGAAACAAAATACAAACAAATCTTGGTTATAATTATACAGTGAAAGAAATGGTAAAAATGCAGGGACATTTAACTTATGGCATCCAATGCATCTAGATGCACAACCTAGTCAACCACATTCAACTTTCTACTGCGTCTGTCTTTATCACTATTGTTTTTAAAAACTATTTTCTTCTTATTAAATAACCCTGTAAATCGTCAGTTCAGCCTTTATGATAAAAAAAAAAAAAAGAAAAGATTATCATTATGTTCACTCCCTCAAAGAATATTCTGAATATTGTGCAAGTGGAAACTACTTTTTCACTCAGATTTTTGAATCCGATGCAGCATAATAATCATACTTATTTACTTAGTAAATAAACAAGGGATGGTATTTCTACACTTATCTTTAATAGTTATCTCCCTTTAAAACTAGTTTGCCACACCTTGCCATTCTGAATTTCTGGAATGAGTTATTATTTATACTATTTACATTCAGACTATTGTCCTCATATTTGTTGTTATCATAATGTTTCAGCTGTTGTTCCCTTCAGACTTCATATGTATAGTGATCTGGATAATATAAAGGGAATTCTTAACTGAACCCTTTATTTAATCTATGGAGGTAGACTGTTCTCATCAAACTGCCCATGTCTAGGGATATCTAGTCTAGTTCTTATTTTTCATTTCTGCTCAGTTATTGCTCACTCATTTCCACAGAGTCCAAGTACACATTGCCCTGCCCAGGAATTGAATTCACAATTACTATGTCACCAAATTCACAGACAAACATTTTAATCCACTAGGCTATTGTCCTGTAGGACAATTCTCCATGATGAACCTCAAACTTCTAGGATACATAAGAAGGATAGAGTGCTTGGAGAATTTAACACTCACAGGGAAATCTAGAAAAGAAACGGAATAACTGACTTAAGAAGTTAGTATGCTGAACAAGGACAAATAGGGACGGTAAAGAATAAAAATTATTTAGTGCAACAAAATGCAGGAAGTTGTGGAGAGCCCTGAATGCCCATGTCCTGAAGGGACATGGTACATAAAAGATGATAATGCTATATACAGATATTCACAAACTTTTAGTATTATATAGAAATACAGGCTTATTTTTATTTTGACAAAATTATTTGTTAAAAAAAAAAAAAAAAAGAACAAAAAAGAAAAGTTTCAACATTTAACATCATAAAAAAATTAGAAAACATACCTATGAAAATATAAGTACATTTATCAAAAAGAAACTTTAAATGGAAAGTGATCTACACCTTGAAAAATATAAATTTTCTTCATAACCTAAAATATTTACATAATTGAGTGTATTTGTTTCCACTGATCAGTTTCTTAAAAGGATTTTATCTATTTATGCAAATAAATGTTGAAGAAATTTTAAATGACCAGCAAGATTTAATCTTTACTGAAAAAATAAAGAAAAAAAGATATGAAAATCTTACTGTGGATGTTTTTATGGACGTGTTTTTCAATCGATGACCCTCATCACAAATTATCAAGTCAAAGTTGATCTTCTCAACCTCTTTAATGTTTCGCAGGAACATTTCATAAGAGATAATCAGAACAGGGCATTTTGGTCGAAGCAGATATTCCTGAAAAATCAATTTAGTAATTTCAACTTTAACCTTCAGAAATGAAATTGAAAATATTTTGTTTCTTGTCATTATCAACATTGTAATGTGTCACATTCTCCCTCTCTTACATGCATGTGCACACAACATATTTGGAGTTTTAAGGAAGGGTTTATCTCTGTTGCATGCATAAAGGAATTTGACAACCATCAAATATTTTGGTAATGTTATAGTTTAGTGGCATAAATTAGGCACCTACGTAAACCTTTACATTATAACAGATTAGATTATTTTGACCAAGAAAAACTAAATCCATTAGAATGTGAAATTAATAAATTCTAAAAATTTCAAATATTTCAATGTATAACAAATTTAGTATAGGAAATTGAACACATGTTCGGTTGCAAAAGGGATACTTTTGTCTATAGCTAAAATATTAACGAGTTCTTAAATAGATTCATCAGATCTATACTTATTCAGAAAGGTCTAAATGATCATCCAACTGTTTACTCACAGCAATGATTAAAAACAACTTCAAATGAATGAATCTTTTACATCTTAACAAAGATAATACTTTATCAGAATTTATAGATGTGCTACAGAATAACAAAAACCACATCACTTGAAGACTTACAACAGCAACTAAAATGGGTAGCACATATACCTAGAACAGAAAATAATAATATAATCAAGATGTTGATTTTTCAACACTATCATAAACAAAAAGATTGAAAGGAAACTCCCATCAATACTAGAAAAAGCGATAACAATGGAGTTGAGAAATCTATTTTTCTGAAAAACTGATTTAATAAAAAGATTTTTTAAGTTCACTCATCAGTAGAGCTGTTTGGTCAATGAATGTCAAATGTTTCCTAAATGGAAATGGCTAATTTCCCCATTAGCATTACAATATTTGAACATAGCAATGCAAATAAATTACAATATATTTGATTACAAAGGATAGAAGTCACTTATGAAACTAATGAAATTAGAAAAGTTATCATTATTATTATTATGATAGTAATTCCACGACTGAAATTCTGAGAGACATGACTGGAACAAACTTCTAGATGGACAAAACTACCTCCACAACTTTCATTTTAATCTTATTTACATATTTTCAATATTCTGATTTTATTTTTCAGGATCTTTGGCATCAACAAAATTAGCTTTGTGAATAACAACATTAGAAATATAAATCCCACCTTACACCTATCCAATTAGACTATACACTGTCCATCCATGAGTATCTGTGAACCAGGCAGTACAGGGTTTTCTCTTTCATTGTCCATTTTATTTTTACCAAGATTGATGTTCAATCCCAAGAAAGGCCGAAAATGCACTTTGATGTTATTTATAATGAAAAAAATACTCCATCAATTTCTAACATTATAGGCTGACCTGCTGCATGAAAACCCCAAATGAAGCATTTTTTTTTGACAACAGAGCCACTCTGCAAAAATGTCCTACAGAAATACTATATCATTCAAACAGAAATTACAAATTTACACTGCTGGGTTACCAATTATTCTATGTCTTCATATAACTTCCCTGAATCCACTCACATCTATAACAATCCATGAAAAAGATTAAAAAGCAGTTTAAGCTGAAGGATTTTTGTAATCCTCCCTTGATCATGAAGAAAAGTTCATTATTAATTGCTCCATTGTTGACAGGGAACCCAGATGCAGAGACATCTCCCCTTTAATACCAACTGCTTTGAGAAAAATTAAAAACCCTACTGGGAAAACAAATTATGTCTTTTTCAATCTGTGCATCTATTTTGAGTGGTGTTTATTATCACCAGAAGTCAGTGAAATCATACAATGGATAATAATAACCTTCAAGCAAGTAAACTGGTCTCCAAACTTAAAGAAAATTTTCTTGGAAGTAAAATACAGATAAGCATGAAAGAAAACATTAAGCCTGACTAATAATGACTGAGAATATGTGATAAAACTTTATGGGTCAATTATAAAATTCTATCCTGCATGACTAAACATTTGTTAATTTGCCAATTACAAAAAATCAACAAATTATTAAAATATCAAAGTTCAAACAATGTTAAACTTGTTTGTAAATCAATAAAGAATAAACAACTACCTAATAAACAAAATGAACCTGAAGTATCAAGTTATCTATAAAATGATATTCTGAATTCAGCAAGGTTAACTCAATTATTTGCATTTATTACACTCTATTGGATTGCCTAAAATGTTTCTGTTATCATTGTTAGATCGCATTACGTGTGTTTAGTTTTAACTAACTTCATTCAAAAAAATTGCTTTTGAATATATATTTACAACTGTTATAACAGCATGCATTTTTAAATAGTTTGTTAAAATTAGCATATTTCTGTTTTAGTGATTCTAACATCAAAGATGGAAAAAATGTTATGCCTTTTTTATTTTAAGAAAAGTAAAAATATGATTCAATGCAAAAAAAGGATTTGTGAACTTTACAAAGAAACTAAGTATGACTGAATATGTCAAAAGTGTTTTGCAAAGAAATATGCTGGAAATTTCCTGTTGAACTCTGCTCTACTGTTGCATAGAGCAGTTAAGATTAATGATGGTCAAAATCAAGACATTACTTGAGAATAAGCAACACTACATGACATGAGAAATAACCATCATATCAAAATATTTGAATATTCAGATGGTGAAAATCATTAGCACCAGCTCAAGCATGTCAGTCATTTTGATATTTGGCCTGCCCATAACAGCTACTAGAGCATATTTTCTTGCATTATTTAATATATAATAAAAATGCAGTTTTTTTTAAACAAAATTGTAATGACAATGAAAAGTGGATATTTTACAACAATGTGAAATGCAACATATTGTGAGGCAAGTGAAATACATTCCCCATTAACTGTTCAAAAGGTTGGTGGTCTTTATCCAAAGGTGATGTTGTGAATATGGTGAGAATGAAAATGAATGCTCTACTTTTAAATCCTGTCCAAAGAATTAAACAATTCAATCATGTACAGTTCCCAATCAAATCATTTATGAAGAACTAAAAAGAAATTCAAACAAAAATTCTAATTGATCATAAGTAAGATTTTAGGATGTGTATCAGACCAAAAACCATTCAGTACTCTTTCATAATTACAGCAATTAACAAAAAGCATCAACAGAAAGGACATAATATTCTACCAGGACCAAGCAAAATTTTTTACAGCCTGGTTGAGAAATTTTAACTTGTCTGCTATATTCATATTAATGAGATGTAGCACTTTTAGATTACCATTTATTCTGGAATTCTCTATAAAAAAAAAAAAAAAAAAAAGAAGATTTCAATTCTTTGGAAAACAACCAAAAGCACTTAAAGCAATTCTTTGCAGAGTGAGACAAGAGAGTGGAACAGAACAGTAAATATGCTCAATGTTAATGATGAAAACAAAAAAAAAGATGTTTTCATTTTTATTTAACTGTACAAACATTTTGGCCACACAATATATGATTTAGTTATAGTATATGAAAAAAAAATGAAATTAAAGATTAAAATTATATTACTTTTATATTTCAAAGTGAAAAAATGTACACACATCTACTCTTTTGTCAGCTTCCACAGCAAATACAGATATTCTTTCTAAGCCAAGCCATTTCTTGAATTCTTGAAACCAGTTCTAAAATAGAAAATAGCATGAGAAAATAATATATATTGCTGCTTTAATAAAAATTTAGCATCTATAATGCCAATTATTTATTTCAAATGCATTAACATTATTTTTTGCCATTAAAATTTCTCTTGATAAAAATAGACAAGTTTTTTCAGCGTCACCTGAAAAAGTTTTTCATGAGTATGAGACTGACTCAAAGATGCAGGCAAAATCATCAGCTCCCTGTATCACACCAGTAAGTCCTAACTCCTCATGTTAACCCCCAACTTTTATAAGAGCCAGATCAGCCTAAAATGGAGTACTGTTACAATATTTGGGCAGGAGCTGCTGTGTCCTCATCTTCGAGTCTTGATAGAGTTCAAAAGTGTCTCCAAGTTTGTGGAGAAGAATTATTTTCCACCCTACAACCTCTCTTTCACAGGAAGGATGTAATGAGTCTCTCGCTGTTTTATTGCTACTTCCAAAAGTGCTCAGACAAACTACATTCTTTGGTTCCATCAGGTCTAACCTTTACATCTAGGACCCACCGTGCCACTTACATAGTAGCAAACCACTCTCATTCCCTCTGTATTCCATCAGCAAGAAGTTTCACTCAAACAGCTTCTTCCTGTGAACCACTGCTCTGTGGAACAGACTCCCAAGAAGATGTTTCCCTGATCACTGCAATCTTAAACTGTTCAAGTTAGCCATTATCTTCCCCTCCTATCCATATAAACTACCTCTTAACATAACCCTGTACCTCAAGTAGCCCCCAGGACTTGTACAGGGTGAACCATAAAAAAAAAATATCTTACTGAAGTGATAAAAGTACTAAGAAACATCTAAAGACTACTGCAAGCAATATTGTGGAAGGTTGAAGAAACTATCAGATGACACCGTTATAAAACTGAAGTAGTTATTGTGTAACTGTTATGAAGTAGTTATTGTGTAACTGTTATGATATTTTGTAATGATTCACAGTCACATCAGTTACAAAAACTATTACAAATATATAAAAATGAAGTCATAGTTTAAAATAATTATTGCAAGTATGAGACCACTTTATATGAAGAAAAGCTCATTTGGGTGAACAGATATAATAATACAAGGGAACAAGAAGCCATTCAAAAAAATAAAATAAAAAATAATTCTGATATTTAGTCAGATTTTGGGAAGTGGCTTAAGCCAAGAACTTTTTAGCACCACCTTATATATGAAATTTATACTCAAAAATTATTTAGAAAAAAAATATTGAGAATTGAATTTTAAAATTTTATATTTAAAAAATAAAGAAAATTCCTTTTAAAATATACACAAATCCTATCCATTAGATCATTTTAGAACATACAGGATAAAGTTAAATTTAAAAAAAAAAAAAGACAAGTGATTTTGTTAATATTTGGAATATTTACGTATATTATTGTAAACACAATATTGGTATGAAAATATTTCAATAAAGAAAGTTTAAAAATGGAATTTTCATAAAATTCAATTTTTACAAATTCATTAAGAAAACTTTCACTTCATGATATCAAACTATACATACTTTACTCATAAATAAAACAATCAATTTTTATTTGATACAAGTATTGTTCTACTGACAGTATTTACATCATTAATACATAGATTATTTTATTTTCAAATGCTATCAGTTTCAACACATCCTTATGTAAATTTAATTCAGTCAGACTTACCTTGACCAAACTACTAGGTGTGACAATAAGAATTCTGTGTAATATTGGTTTACCACCATAGGGGCCTTGTTTATAGAGTGTCCTAGGAAAATAAACATTTGAGGTTAACTAAATAGAATAATTATGTGAAAATATAAATAACACAAATTTGACTAAATCAAAAAATTTACTTTTGTTTCTTTTTAATCAAAACATCATATTTTCACTATAAAGTAATAAACTAAAATCATCTTGCAAAAATTAACATGAAATTTAGTATTTGTCAAAGAAATTGCTATCATAATTATCGTTGAAAGTTTTTACATTGTTTGTCTCTTTATTTTTATCAATTTTAAACACTAATAAAAATGGCAGTATACAAATAATATATAAAGATTACCAATAAATTCAAATAAGCTGGAATATATTTAAAAATATTTTAAAGAATGACCAAAGTTCATAAAGTGTACATGCTAAGTAGTGTGGAGGGAGTGATATAAGATAAAATAAAAATCTGATGAAGAGTACTTTATGCAAATAAACAATTATGTTTTTGTTTGAATACTTTTAACAACCTGTCATCATCAGAAATGTTGTCAGTATTGTAAACAAGAGCTGTTAGCTACAGCCTGGTTATTTTAGAATGTTACATCTCAAATTTAAATATACATGTATCGTATAAGTGATGTCACATGTAGAATGTTTTCACAGGGATTGAAAACACTAGAAATGAATGTGTGTGTGTGTGTGGGTTTTAAAATGCCCTCTCCTGTGATAAAAGATACTTTATTTAATGCTGCTTGCTTTATTTTTTTTTTATGTAGCTTTGGGTACTTTGAGACATTACAGCATAATATTTATAAAGCGGAAGTGGCAAGCCCAGTCTTTCTTTTGCATTCACTTTTCATTAATGTAATTGGGAAAAGCATGAATCTATTTCTTCTCAAGCTGTGAGTCGACTCACAGCTTGAGAAGAAATGGAAACTTGACATCAGATTGCCACTTTGTTTATCATATGAGTCTATGATAGACTGCAGGGCTTGAAATTACTGTTCTATTGTTCTAGGGATGATAGGATATTAGTTTGGGACAATTGGTTATGTTTTTTAGGATGATTGATTGATACACATTTTTTTTTAATGAAAATTCTATTATATTTATTCAAAAAGCAACTAATTTCTTAAAGAAAAATTCTCACTTTCTTCAATAGTTGTGGGTTCTAAAAAATTTAAAAAACCACATTTCATTTGGTGAATGAAGCTAAAATGAATGTTAAAGGATTTAAATATTAATAAATTTCTTGCTTTTTATTGAAAGAAAATTAGTTCTTACTATATTAATGTTTTTCATGTTCAGAGGTAAGCCTCTGAACATGAAAAACATTAATATAAGAACTAATTTTCTTTCAATAAAAAGCAAGAAATTTATTTCTATTAATTTTTTTATTTTAAGCTTGAATAAACCATTAACAAACATCATTTATGTGTTATGCTTTCTGCTTATCATAAACTGAATTGAAAATACAAGGAAGAATTTAAAACATGATAAACAAACATGGGAAATTTAGTCACAAGTAATTGTAAATAAAATTTTTTAGATAAAGAATTTAAAACCTTTTTGATTATGAATAGTTGGAATGTGTTATAGAAAATGAATGCATAGAACACAAAAAGTTACTCTCAACATGAAAATTATTAAGAATATTTCCATGTTTTTTCAAATAATATAAAAATAACTGATAAACAAAGTTACGAACAAAACATTTTAATTTTGGGATGGTTTCAAATTTTTTCAGAATAATTTGAGTTGTTTTTTGGAATGGCTCCAAGACAATAGAAAAAAGTTAATCTGGAACCTTGGTAGATTGACTTTTAGGGAACAACAATTGTGAATTCAAAACCATAGAGAATGCAACATTGCTCAAAAGGTAACGGCAATTCACAATTCAAAGGAAAAAAACAAAAAAAAACAGGTAAATTACATATTAACTACAATTAAGTCTCTCAATGCCAGGTCAGATTCATAATAATGCTAAATATTTATAAACATAAAAATAAGCTAGAAGATAAATATTTTTACCAGATAAGAAATGTGGATTTGAATAATCTCTAAATGAAGCACAATTTGTTTTTGTTTTGATTAAAAAAATTATTTATTAGATGCAGATTTATGATAATGATTGTCACTGTTATAAACTGTTAAGATAATTCAGGGATTATGTTTATTTTGTGATTATAGGGTTAAATAGTTTTGCAAAACAAAACCACTTACCATAACAATGCAATGCACTGAAGTGTTTTCCCTAATCCCATATCATCACTGCAATGAAGTAAATAAAAAAAAGAAAAACAGGGTAGAAATTTTTCAGCTTCTAAATAATTGTTTGTCTTTTCCATTCTGAAACAAGAAAACTGAGAAGCAATAAATCTAGGTTTCTTTACATATGTACAAATTAAGGTGTACTTTCAAGTGTTGGTCAAGTTATTTTACCATGTTATTTTATTCAACTAAATTATTTCATTAAGTTATAATTAAAAAAAAAAAAAAAAAAATTCAAAAAGCATAAAAAATTCAAATTCAAATGTGTATATAAGTTTCAAAAATAAAATTGCAATACTCTAAAGGAAGCCACTTATTTTGACCAGGGTACAATATGTGCATGCTAGTTCAGGGCTAGTAGATATTCTGATAAAATTCAGGCATCTTGTGATGTAGTAACACTCATATCAGTGCACAATCTGTTTCTGAGTTTTAGACAATGGTGCATGATGCAATAAGAGACAGTGTAATGAAAGAGTTCAGTACTGTGTCATGTAGATGCACACATGCTTCTTTTCTTCAAAGAGAACCAGAGAGCAATTGTGAGCATTTCAAATAATGGATGATCATTTCAGAGAATTGTGCATGCTGGATGTCACACATCAGCATTGACACAAATGAACTGGTGATGGTCCTGTAGACCAGGTTCTGGATGGCCATATAGCACAAACACTAAGAAATTTGGGAAATCATTTACTTGCAAATGGATTATGAGCATATATACATCTAGCCAAACTTTCACTAATGCCACAATACTATTGCAGAGGTCTCGAATGTTGTCACAAGAGGGTTACTTGGGCTATCAAATGACACTCTTTAGTGTCCAGTGATGAGAGCAGGTTCTGCAATCATGCAAGTGATGGTCATTTACATGTGCAATGTAGACCTGTGAAGTTACATCTTCCAATATATTCAGCCAGAGCACACAGGCAAAAAAGAATTATAACTCTCATTCAACTTTGTGGAAGCAGTGTTGAACAGTATCATATATATCCAGAAACCATTCTGTTGCCATTCTTGCAACATGAATGTAATGTGCTGTTCCAGCAGGATAATGCCTGCTCACATTATGCCTGTGCTACTGAACATTCTCTGCAAAATGTTTGACAAATTCCCTATCCAGCATGTTCAACAGACCTGTCCTCATTGGACATGTAAGAGACAGGATGGAACAATGCCTTATTTTACCTATTTCAAAAAGAATGCATAGAAATATACATTGCCAACTAGCTCTGACAGACTAGCATCACTACTCCTGAGGTGATATATTGTAACTGTATAGGGCTTGGAAATAAAAAGCAGTCTCTTGTTTTTCTAAGTTAATTGCATCACACATATTGACACATTACAAAATGGATTTACAATCATTGACAAAAATGGAGTTTACTTTTTAACCTCTAAGTCAGTGGTTCCCAAACAGTGTGGCATATGCCTCATATGTGCAGCAGAGGAGGATAGCAGGTGAAGTGGAATGATTGAAAGACAAAGATTTAGAAACCATTTCAAAAAATTCATATGCCAAAAATAAATATGATTTCAAAATTTAAAATATTATGGATTACTTGTAATTGCACACATGAGTCCCAGTATAAATAGTTATAATTATTGACTGACTTTGTCATTGTGATATTTCTGCATTACATCAAGTATTAGGAATATAGTAACTAGGGTCCACAAATTGAAGGGGAAAGTTATCAATGATAATGTTCTGACTTCAAATCCACAGTTAGCTCCTTTGAACACTGTTTTTTATTTTTAAATGTAATTTTTATCACATAAAATGTGTTGAGACACAAGCAAATTTTCCTTCTGAAAATGAGGCCCAGAGAAAAAAATGTTTAGGAACAACTACTCTAAGCACTACAAAAAAAAAAAAAACCTTATCAGTCACTTGTGAGTGTAAAACAAACACCAATTTGGGACAACACTCTTGGAGACAAAGTTTCAGATGTAAAAGAAAAAACATAAAAAACAACTTACGCTAAAATGGCTCCACAGCCATTGTAATCACGCATTCCCATAACACATTCATAAAGAAAGATAACTCCATCACGCTGATGAGGTCGCATGTGACGAGTGATGTAAGGGTCAACTACTACATCTACTACTGGTAATTGATTTTTGTTGTTGTACCACTAATAAAAAAAAAAGAAAGTTCATCAAACAGTTTCAATTGGAATATCACAACATACACAGTATTAGTAACCATAAAAATTAATGTCATTCTCATAGACTGGCTACAAATCATTTCTAATGTTGGGAATATAAAAATCACACAATAATACTATCATTCAAATTTGTTTACTATTTATGATTTTTAAGAATATTATGTTAATTCTCAAGATTTTCTCGGATACATTTAATATCTAGTGAATAGTATTAGTTTAATGTTGTTGTTTCATCAATTAACAAAGACAAGAGATTAAATTTCTCATACATAATATGATTGTTTATTCAACTCTGGATTGTGTCAATATTGGTGAATGTGTATATTGATTCTGGGTTTTCTCCAAAAATTTTATAAATGTCCCAATTGACTGGCATGAAAGTTTTTCTGCATTTTATGCCAATATATTGACAGATTTATTGTACAGTTTATTTTTTTTAATATATTTAATATTTGACATGTATGTGCATGCATATAGATGTCTGAAACTAGTCAGTGAGAAACAAGAAAATATCAATATCTAGAATTAATTCATAGTTATAATATTCAGACAAAAAAAAAAAAAAATAAAAATAAAAAATAAAAATCAGTAGATTGAGAAAAATCGCTATTAATATGATTAACAAATAAATACATTTTTTTCAAATAGTATTGTATAGGGTGTTCCAATAAGTTTAAGTGTCTAATGAGTTTCTTCTTTTTCTTTCAGATTTAACAACTTAATTAACAACTTTGTTAATCTTTCCATGGTTGAAAATGTCAATCAAACAATGTGTTAATTATCGAAGCCTATTATGAAAATGGATGTTCAAACAGAAATGCATTTTGCGCACTTCACAATTTTTTTGGTCAACATAATCAACCAAGAGCGCAATTGGAAAAATTGTTTGTAAATTCAAACAAGCTGGGTCGGTGGAGGATGTGAAAACACCACTGTGTGCTCGTTTATGCTCTATTCGTCATCGTGCACAGGAACTGAACCCCTCCACAACAACGTTACATCAAATTTTGGCAAAATTCAATTGATACAACAACTGAAACCTGCTGACCATTTGGAGCACCGTACATTTGTCAATTGGGTGCACGAGCAAAGACAAGACAATGAAGATTTTTCGCAAAAAATCCTCTTTAGTGAGGAAGCCCATTTTCAACTTGGTGGATTCATTAATAAGCAGAATTGTCACATTTGACTGATGAAAATCCAAGGAAGATTGTTGAAAAGCCACTGATCACAGATCTATCATTTTGGCAGGTAAGATCAAGAAATGTACTTTAGTCCACATTCTCAGAGGATTATGTGGAATAATTTGCTATGATTAAATGCAACTGTCAAAATTCTCAACATGCAGAATTGACAAACAAAAGGAAAGAAAAAATGAATGGGGCAAAATAATAAATAATACAAGATATATATATATATATATATATATATATATATATATATATATATAAATGCAAGTCAAAAGCAAAGAAACTATAAGACAAAAAAAGCAAAAAGTTCACAAAGTAGGAATAGTGTTCACAAGCAAGTGATATGGATACAGTCAAGTGGTTATAGCATTCTGACTTCAAGGTAAGAAAGAACAAAAATGTGAGGATATGATTGAGAATTGTTTATTTTTTATTGGTTACGAAAAAAATCCCAGCATTTGTCTGTAAGATTTGTCTATAAATTTGGGGAGGAGAGGTTTTTAGCTGTCAGATTGTAAAAATATTAGAAAAATAATTAAAATTATTAGAAAAATTCAATTTAAATTCTATTTATGAAATTAAACCATTCCTCATAGTTCATATAAAAATCAATCCTGATTTCATATTTTTACAATATTGATAAACCCAAATTTTAAGAGAGAATCAGAATTAAAAACAGAAATAGAATTCATTGAAATTGACACATTTTACAGGGTGTGGCTTCTGCCACATACCTCCCACATAACATATTAGTGGCAATGGTCTCTTTATCTACTATTATGTGGACGGTATTTCTGGGTAGTAAAAGTGGGAGGCATTTATTTTGCACCCTGCATAATAATCAGTAGATAATATGAAAAGAATATAATTCACCTGATGGTCTTGACTAGGTCTTGGCATGACAAGAGCATTTGGTGCTGAGGGGTCATGCCTGGGGGTGATTGTCTCAATGGAATCTGTTATAGCACCAGTTTTCTGAAAACATACAACAGGTTTTCTTTTAGTTTCTTTATAGAAATAACATTACAAGCAATCACAGTTTCATGGAAATGAATGCAAGAAGTAAAAGATTTTTTTAAATTGGGTCATTAATATGATTGTACAAAAAAACATGTTCTTTTTTAAACTCTAGAACATATTTGTGATCAGTTAGAAGCAAAGTTAAATTATTTGAGTCAGTCTCACAGCTTTTATTTGTTTTAACAGGATCTTAACAGGAATTCAGTTTATAAGCTCTAAGATATTCTTTTGAAGACATCTTTTTGATATTTCTCCATGGAGATGGTTTTAATTCTTCTAAAACAACAAATATAGGGTGTAAAAATGACTGAATTTTAAGAACTCTCATGATTTGCCTCGTTACATAAAATGTTTACTTGAAAATAAAATTATATTTTCTTCTGAATCTTTTTGGCTTTATCATGTCAATTTTCCTTTAATAAAGATTGCAATGTATTATTAGTATTAAGCTAAACATTTCAAGAAATTTTCGTAAAAATATTTATAGCAAGAACACAAGATTTAAACTTGTATACAAGAAAAGAATTGTTTTATGCCTGTCAGATTTTTTCAGAATTACCCCCCCCCCCGCCAAATTAACAATAAATTTCAAATAAGCAAACCTGAAATTTGGATGAGTTATTCCCAGTTTGAGTGTTAGATAATTGAGGATTGACATATGGTCGAGATATATCTGAAAGATAAAAGCACAAAAGACATTGACTCATTTAAAAATATAGAAATCACTAAAACTCATTCATTTGTAACTGACAAATTTAAAATACATCCTACAAAAGAAAAAGTATATTGTCAGAAGATGAATTAACAGAAAACTATCTCTCTTAATAATTCCATAATAGTAGTAAATATAAATTTTATGAGGTCTGATCAAAAAGTATTGGGACTGTTGCTATGCTAAGGGAGTACACAAAGTGAAGCCGCTTGGCACAGATTGACCTTGATCTCTGTCATGAATACAAACTAAGTTATAACATTCTTACTCATTTTCGTGATTTATAGCAGTGTTTGGAAGGAAAGTGTGTAGAGTGTGGTTGTCTCACCACACCACAGAGTTTCCATGAGTGACTATGGCTTGTGCAGCAGTTTTTGGACAAGTACAACCTTCCATAGGTGTGACAACCACCATATTCCCTAGATCTCACTCCTTGTGACTTTTTCCTCTTCAAAAATCAAATCCCACCTGAAAAGAACAAGATCTCATGACATCAAGGAAATCCAAGAAAATATGATGAGGCAGCTGCTCGCTCTACCCAAAAAAGGAGTTCCAGGAATGCTTCCATCACTAGAAATGACATTGGTTAAAGTGTGTGGCTTCAGAAGGGTATTACTTCAAAGGAGATTAAATGCCAAATTGATGTGTGTTGCAGTTTTCTTTTTATAGTACCAGTCCTGATACTTTTTAATCAGACCTTGTATATTATAATTCAAAATGAATCAGATTATAGTTGCACAACCATATTTGTCTTCAGTGACATATATTAGCTGCTAATTAAAAAAAGAAAAGGACACAATACAAGTTTTAATAAAGACATGTTTAAATTAATTTTGTAATCCCTTTTTTATTTGAAAACTTTTCTGCACCACTCCCCCTTTATCCCATTCAAGTATAGAAAGGGGAATATAAGAGGTAAAACAGATGACAGTTCAGAACCATGTTTGAGGAGGATGGAAAAGTTTGGAGAGAGAAGGGATCACATTACCCGACTTCCTTAGAAAAGGTCCAGATAAAACAGGGTGCATAACCGGAGAGGGAGAAAAACTAAAAGAATCTGTGTACATGAGATTCGTTGTATTGTGTGGATTCTTTGCTTAGCAAAAAAAAAAAGGATGAAATCACCTATATCACCTGTATTTTTAATTTTATTTTTGTAGATACATAATATAAATGAAAATTGCATTGTTTTTTTTACCTTCCAAATTTAAAAAAAAAAAAAAAAAAAAAAAAAAAAAGTCAGAAAAATAAAGGATTGTTTCCAACTCTTTCAGGTACAAAGAGATTAGTAGAAAAAATGTTATAAAGAATTCTTGGAATGTACAGTTAAACCCAGGAGAATAAGAGAAACAGTCATGTTATTTTAGATATATAAAGATTTTAATGAAATATGCCCACCTTTAAAATGATTCATAATATTTACAGGTACTTTCTGTACACTTTTGTAAAATATAAAATGATCAATATTCTAATTTTTTCTTTTTAAACACAAAAAGTCAAGTCTTTCTAAATGCGATACCTTATCTAAAAGTAACAACCCGCAATCAGTAGAAATATAGTGTATTATTGTTTGCTATTAAATGGTTGGTAGTCATTTTGGCACATGTTAGGAAAACTGATCACTGACGTTATTAGCAATTATGATAATTATATTTTTAAAACTAAAACACAGATTTACTACTATTTTCCCAGAATAAGAATGAAGTTTAATTTATTACTTGTCTGATCACAAAACATATTTATTTCATGAAATGTTTAACAAATTATACAAATTAATTTAAATGTATTAATAATGATTTATTCTACAAATGTAAGAATCAAACCATATAATAATTATTAATGTGGATTTATTTATATATTTCCTGTCCCATCTGTAGTGGGAAGGGAGGTAAATTAATTTAAGTTAGTAATTTATGAGTGATTACTTCCCTTAGTCAATCTATACAAATAAAATATTTATCTGCATTTAGACAAAATGAGTTTCCAAGCAAAATAGACCATCCAATCAATCAGTTTCTTTATTCCTTTGTTTCTTAGATTGCAGTCTTATTTGTTCAAGCCTTTCTTGTGAGACACTCAGATCTTTGTCTATTAAGTGATCATCTTGCTTCAACTTAGGTTTTGTTATCACCATGCTGTTCTGTTGCTAATCTTTTTCTTCCAAGAGATATTTCCATTTCATTTATATTAAACATCAAATTTTTACCATGAAATGATATTGAGCAAAAAGTGATTTATTTAATACCAGGAGTAGTCAATGAATCATAGATACCACTGGACGTGTAAAAAACAAAGAAAACAGATTAAACAGTTCATTGGCTTCTATTTTAATTGTAAATTCTTTATCTCCGCTTTATTGAATCTCAATACATTGTTTCAAGACTGTTTCATTGCATCTATTAAAACTTTCTAACAATTGCCGCCATTTTTCATGGCATGGCTATACAAGTCTATTAATAATCTGTAGTGAAAGAGGGTTAACAGTTTTTGTATAAATAAAATTGGTTTCCTATTTAACATTTTCCATCAAAAAATTTCAAATAAAAAGAATAAGGATAATTTTGAAGATAATTCTGTAATTTTGAAAAAAAAAGACATTATTTCAAAAGTTATCCAGACCAATTTCTTATCTTCTAATGTCAGGTTGACATACATATTATACAATAAAATTATATCATTTGTTTTTGTTTATTGCTTGAAAAAGTTTTAGAAACTTTATCTTTCAAGATAAGCCTCAAATTTTAATAAGTCTGATTTCAAACTTATATTTTGGAATCCATGTAATTATTCTGATGAAATTAGTAATTTCAATGCCACATGTCTAAAAGTTAACTGAAATGCAAAAAAAACATTAATTTTGTTATAAAAACGAGTTCAATAGCCTGAACTATTCTTAAACATTTAAAAATAATCATCATTTGATTAACAAACAAGAGATAAATTTTTCTTGATATTCCAATATTTAACCACATAATTTTCAAAGTAAATAACAGAAAAAAACTTGTAAATGCTAAAAACAGTTCCTATAAAAACATCAATGCATCAATATATTTGACTAAAAATAAAATAAAACCTTTTGTTTTGGTTGCTGCTGCTGCTGCTGTGGGGGCAGTGGTACTTGGCATAAAACATTTCCCAGATTTGAAGTTTTCTTCAGGAATACGAGACATCACCTAGAAAATAATTTTAAATCAGTTTATTCATATAATGTCATTTCTTGCTAGGTATATTCCAATAAAATGTATCACATAAAATAAGCATTTGTGTTATGACAAAAGTTCAAAATTTAAGAAATTAGGAAATTTCATATTTTATATGAAAATGGTTATAATTTGCTTCAATTTATTTTAAATTGTCAATATTTATCAATGCAGTCAAAATGTAACAATCAATAAAATAAACAATTATAATTTTAATAGTAGGTGTTAGATAGCACAAATCCATAAAAATTTAGAAAATAATTCATATAAAAACTGGTCATCATAAAGATAACATACCAAAATTTCTTTTCCTGCAAATGATAATGTTTGGTCACCTTCCAAAGAATTCAGCAAAGATTCTTTATAACCAGAGCCTTTTCCAATTCTAAAAATAAAAAAAATAACATTTAGAAAATTTAAATTAATTCATTCACTTATACAATACAAAAAATAAAAACAACTATTGGTATTGCATGTTTCTGATAAGGGGAGAATATTTCTTAGCTCACTTGATATTATAAAAATACATTTTTATTCAATATTTTGAGCATTTGCTAAATATATATAAAAAAAACAAAAAACAAAACAAATGCAACATTACATGGGGGATTAAACAGTTATTGCTTTGACCAAGTGTTGTAGCATACCTACGGATGATAATGGGTATGTCCCCATTCACATAAATAAATACTGCATGTTGGTCTGTAGTTGGAGATTCATTGTGGAATTCATATGACTCACTTCTAGCAGTTGACTACTTCTATGCACCGCTGGTGAATCTTATGTGTGTTGTTCTTGTCCTAAGTATTATCGTTCATTACAAACCTTCGTTTGATTATTCTATTCAGTAACTTTCCCTAGGTTACAACACCAAGAAAACTTTTAAAAAAATCTGATGCCTAATCATTTGGTTAGATTTTGAGAAGTGATTTGGGACAAAAACTTTTCAGTACCCCCTTCATACATTAAAGATGAACAAGACTGAGTAATGTTTATAGACTGTTTAATCCTACAAAATTAATGTGCTATTATTACACATTAAGTAGAGCATCTGAGTTAACTTTTAAATTAATTTTCAGGTATGTGGCATTGAAGCTACTAATTTCAGCTTTGGGAATACATGGATAATAAAATTTATAAAAATATCATAATAAAACATAAATCACAAGTTTCATTTGTCTTGAAAGGTGACATTTATACATCTTTTCCCAGTAATAAGCAAAGACATAATACAACTTGATATTAAGAGATAGGAATTTTAGCAACTTAATCATTTTGCTAATTATTTAACTTGGAATCAATAGATAAATGATAAACTAGAGAAATGTTTTTTTTTTAAATAATTTTCCAACAAACATGTACTAATAATTATGAGGGGACACTGAAAAGTTTTTTGAATGATCTACTTCTCAATATCTGAACAAACATCAGATCCTTTTTTGGATGGGTTTTTTGATCAGAACTTCTTCAGAGCAGGTAGTAACCATCAGTTAGAAATTCATTTTAAATTTAATTTTCAACCAAAAGATAACTTTTTAACACTTAGTCTAATATGAAGTTCAAAATTAATTTAATTCTTAGCAATCTGATTCCATGCAATTATTGTTGTGATTGTTAAACAAACATAAGGTATAAAATGACATTTATCTTAAGGTGAACTTCAAATCCAAATCATAAATTTCATGAAGATGTCACATGTTCCATCAAGTTTGTACACATATTCAACTCAAAATACTGAGGCGAAAATAACTGTTTCATTATTTTATTATTATTTTGTATTAATGCATTAACAAAAATCAAGGAAGATCTTACTCTTTTCCTTCCATGTCATACAAAGTAGCTTTGCGGCCGTGAGTCGCTAAAACAGCTGAAAGGAAAAATAGGCACAATAAGAAAAAAAATCCACATAAAATCTAAAGCATAGCAGATATCTGAAAATAGTATTAAAATTGCGCAAAGTGGGACATTTTTGGCAAGTTTTCTCTCATAGTTTCTATAATTTTTTTCTTTTTTACTATCTTATCATTATGACATTTTTCAAAACATCATAATGAAAATCATTAATGTTTAAAAAAAAATAAAAAAAAAACATTTCTTTGCTTGCTTATTTTAAGGACGTTTTTATAGTATATTAATATTTTTATTAACTTATTTATAGTTTATTACTTTTAGCAAATTCTTCTAATCAGATGGACTATTATCAATTTGAAATTTAAAGATATTTTCATTTGAGAATTCAAAATTAAATAATTTAAAATCATAATTACTCTACAAATTTTTAAAACTATTTGCTAAAGTTAATTTTTATATATAATAATACTGTAGCCAAAAAATAAATTTAAAAATACAGCTGCCCAACTGTACATGAGACTGTCTAAACCTTAAGGTTTCTGATACATTCCAAAATCATAACTACAAAATCAAAGATACTATTTACATTGTTTGGACTGTTGTCCTCATATTTGTTGTCATATTCACAATGTTTCAGCCATTGTACACTCCGGCCTTCTTCAGATGAAGTGACCCCAAGGACACATGGCCCAGTGGATTGAAGTAATCCAGTGACTTGACCTAAAAAATTCTGAGTTCAATACCTGGCCACAGCAAAGGCGAAAAAAAACTTGGAGAGTTGCATTACTAAAGGGAAATAAATGAAAACCGAGATATTTGGAAGAGGCATGGCACATGGAACTAGAACAATCTATCCCCTAAGGGCAAAATAAAGGGTTCCATTTGAAATTCCAATCACCTAAAGAAGGGTACAATGGCCAACAAAACATTGTGAATATGACAAAGATGAGAACAACAGTCTAAAAAATGTAAATAGTTACAATATCTCATCTTGGAAATATAGAAAATCAAAGACCATTAATTTTTTTTTTTTTGTTTTATGAAGTTATTCAAAAAAACATATTCTAAGTAATTTTACTCTTATGGAAAATATAAACAAGTTTTAAGCATGAATAATTAAAAAATAATGTTTAACATATTTAATAAACATTAAAATTAAATGGAGTAATGTAAAAAAAAAAAAAAAAAATATTCAAAAGAAATTGTATACTTACCATCGCCTTCCCACTTCTTATGCTGAAAAAAAGAGACACTTAGATTGAAATCCATAATATCAACTTAAAATTGAAGTAAATGATTATTATAACTATCATGATAAAAGCAAATCATCAAAGTGTTACCACATTTAAAAACTGATAACAGCAGAATTAATAAAACAAATATTTTTGTTGAATGAGTTTGTTTTGTATAAGAATAAATACTTTACATTTTCAGAAAATAATCCTTACATAAGATGAATTGTTGATATTTTCACAGAAATTTCCTTCAATTTCACATCAGTTACACTTTATTCAGTCACAACATCAAAATGTTGAAGTTTTACCTTCTTCTTGGAAAATTTACACCAAACCACACTATAGTAGTTCTCAGTTTGTGTTGGAGGGCTGTTAGAACCATTCTGGACATTGCAATCACTATCTGTAATATAAAACAATAAAAATATTTTTTTAAGTTCATAGAATACAAGGAAAATTCAGCAAATACAAAAAAAATCAATTATCACCAAATGATTTAAGCCTGTGTAGGTGTAGTACATAGTTGTGTGTGGGTGTGTGTGTGTACATATGTAGGTGAATTTGTGTGAATACATATCTATATTAGATTTTTCTTTGTAAAATAGAAAATTTGTAAAATTAACAAGTTTTCTTTTTCTTGATTTTCATTCTTAACTCCTCAAATAAATATTGCTATTGCCATTACTTTGTTTTTAATTTGTTCTTTTCTTTCATGTTCATAATTTAAAAAAAATATTCATCTTTATCTGAGGAAAATCTGTATTTCATTCAATATTATTGGTTTAATATTTTTATTAATCTTTTTTAATCTATAATTTTTTTTTGTTTTAATCAGTATCACCCCATGCAAGGCAGTAAAGCCACTAAGACACAAGGAAGACACTGTGTGTGGAAGAATTAGGAACAGAAACATTAATAATAAGCAGGAAGAGAAAAGATTAGTCAGGACAGTAGTTAATGATTGAAATTACATTTAAATTTTTGCAGATTAAAGTTGAATGGAAAGCATGTAACTGGAAGGGAGTTCCGCAAATGAGAAGTGTAAGAAAAAACTCTCAGTAAACAATTTCCGGCTACATCTAGTCAGCTCAACTGTAAATTAATGAGATCTCGATGCCAGTCTAGTACTGTACTTAAATTTAAAAAGTCTAGGTATCACAGGAAAGAGCTCATCTGAACAATTACCATGAAAGTATTTATAGAAGAGACACAGAGAAGCTTAGAAAAACATACCTGCACATAATATTTAGTTTATTGTTTCAAAGTTTGACCATAAAATTATGGCTGAAAGGGATTCTCATTAGTTTTTTAACATTTCATACAAATAATCTTGTTATTATATAAAAGTCAGTCATTTGTTTAATTTGTTAGTTTACCATTGCTAAAACAAACATTAAGTAAATGATTCAAATCTAATAAGTAACATACCAAAAAATCTTCAAACTGTTACTGAAATTTGAAAATTACTTACTTAAAAGAGTTTATTTTATTTTGTTTTTTTTTCACTGTTAGTAATTATTTATTTCAATAATCACTTATATTTCTTTTTTAATTAGCATTGATACAAACTCATTTAAAAGAATGAAACTGAAACAATTTCTTTGAATTTTTATTACACTTATTCTCCTAGGGACAGCATGCAACCATGATAGCAGGCTTTCCTATTAGTGTAATTATTATTTGTTTCAGGCGAGTTTAAAAAGTATTATTTTTATCACCTTTGTCGAAAAGTCTCACTGACTGCAATTGCTGGAGAAGGAATAGTCCTACACGCAAGCCACTAGTGGCCCGCTGACAATGCTAGCAGTCCTATGGTGGCAGTCATCGGTGGGCCTCTAGTGGTCCACCAGTGGTATCATTGCCAAAATGAATACACCAGTGGTCCGACAGTGGGCCACCAGCAGTAAATACTAGTGGCATGCCACCCAGTGGCAGATTGATGGCTTGTATTTAGGGAGGGGCAACATAAGCTTTGTTGTTTTTCTGTGTAAAATCCAATGCTGAAGGTTGATTGTAAGCTGACTGCAAATCCAATGTTTTATCCCCTTACAGTCTTTGACATATTGTTGCAGAAGTAATCACAAGTAAAGAGTCTCACATATCTTTATTCTCGCATCCATTAGCTGTACAATTGTTGAAATTGCAATCTTATCTTATTTTTTCAAGTTCTTTTAAATCATTCCAAGTTTCACTTGGTTCCTGTTTTCTTATAGCAAGTAAATGTCTTGCAAAAATCTCATTAATAAAAATGGCGTCTAATTTAGTTAATGCTGCATCTTAGTCTGTGCAAGTTTCGATAACTCAAATCCAGTATGGCTGACACAGTTTATCAGGACTCATTAGGAATTTTGTCCTTATAATCTTCAACATAGTTTGTAAAAACTGTACACCAATGACATCATTCTTTTACTGCAGTTGGTGAGCTAGGATCAATGTCTAGGCTTTTGGGTCATATTATAAAAATATGATTTCTCACACATTCTTAGGAAACAAATAGGTAGATTCTTTTTCCTTTAAGTCAATTTAATGACCAGGGTTTAACAGGAAGCCATAAAAATAAAGTCCTTTTGAAAGACTGACCACCCAAAACCTGTTTGGATGGTCCCCCTTTCCAGTTGGTAAACATGTAAGGACAGAAAGGGGTGGTGGGTCCTCCAGCCAGTATCCATATAATGAATTGGGCAATAAGTGAAGCGGCCAACAGTGAATGTGTAGGGGTCTGTTTTTCATGGCTTGAACTTAGTGAAAAGTCAGATACCAAAAATTCACTTCCTCAAAACAGAAGGAAGACAATGCCAATTAAGTGAGAAATCATATTTTTTTTTTTACTACTTTCCAACCCAACAGCATTTGATAAAGCATGTCGTTATTTCTTTGTTTTGACGGTCTACACAGCCATAATCGAGATGAATCTGTGGAACATAGTGAGAGCATGGATGTATTCACATACAACCAACATTGGATGTCATCACAGCTTGTGCAGTGTCATGCAGAAATGCATCATTACACTATATTCAAATTAGATTCAGCCATTAATTAGTTGAGTGAGTTGTCATGTTAGATAATCTGATAGAAACTTTAAATAAAATTCAAGTTTCACTCAACTTTTTGTCAATTACAACTGCTAAATAAAAAGGTCTGTTGCAAACTTTTGGTAGCACTCTTTTAGATTTAATCCTTTTACTATTTATAAGAAATGTGACTTATAAATTTGTATATTACAACACAGTACAATAATTGTCTAATCTGCCTCTTGATATCAAGTTTCAAAAGATTAGTAAAATGTTTAATTCCTATCAGATTTACAGCATCCTATGTCCAACAGCAAGGCCTCTGATCGGGAGTTTGGAGGTTTTGAGGAGTGTGAAACCACCTCTTAATTGTTGGTGTTCCCAGGTCTGCCATTAGCCGGGGTAGTGGCACTTGTTAGGATCCCAGATATGGGGAAATAGTTAACCCCCAAACTGGAGTCAAAACACTATGAAAGTGTAAAAATAGGTTTTAATACCAGCAATACATTTTTGGAAAGAAAAATTACCAGCATTAAAAAAAAAAAAAAAAAAAAAAAAAAAAACAGTAATAAAAATGTTGTTGGTTATTTAAAACCCTTTGAGGTTGATGTCATAAAACAAAACCTCAGATTTACATAGTCATTATAAATCTGCCTCAGTATCAGTAATACTCACCTTGTTTGTTTTCTGAAGATACTGCCAGTGGTGAATGATATGAGGTTGAATGTGGTTTACTACCAGATGGTGTAGTTGTGATGGAGGGACTACTTTTAGTAAAGGTGAAAGTACGAGGAGTTGCTGCTTGTGATGTGTTGTTTTGGGTTGAATTCTCATCATTCTTATAATCACCATTTCTGTCTGAATCAGGTGTAGACAGCACATTTAAGCCTCTGAAAGAAGAACAAACTAATAATTTAGCTTAAATATTTGTAATATAGAAGAAAATATTGCAATTTTTTTTTAAATTAGCCAATGAGGTATGTATTCAGTAAATAAAGAAAATATAGTAAATTACTTATGAAAAAAAAATATAATAATTGTTAATGTCTAATCCAATTGACAGTATTTACATTAGTCGGACTATTGTCCTCATCTTTGTCGCCATATTTGTCACAACGTTTCGGCCGTTGTACGCTCCGGCCTTCTTCAGGTGGTTGGAATCTCGAACTGAACCCTTTATTTCGATCGCTGGGGTAGACTGTTCTAATTCCACGTGCCATGTTTGATGGATGTCAGTTATCAGTTATCTCCTGCTAATTTTCCCTCTGAAAGTTCTCCACTGCCTTAACCAGGAATTGAACTCACCTTCTTTGGGTCTGTCACTGGATCTAACCAACGCCTTTATCCACTGTGCCATGTGTCCTTGAGGACATCTGGGTATGAACTTCTGAGTATTATAAACCTAATGTTTTCAGCATCATTTTTACCAGTGCTCATATTGCAATTTTTGCTGTTATCATTGCATGTCTTTACCAGAGTTCATATTGCAACTTTGTTATCATTGCTTTTCTCTGGCACTCCTTATTACTGGTTCCCATATTGTATTTATTTCTATGCTTGGTCGGCTCAGGAGATTTTTGTGGCCTAGCATATGTGCTGATTCCTTAAGTTTACGAATTTTCCAATGGTGTTCCCTGTCTATGATCTCAACATGATCCCACAGGGGGCGGTGATCTCCCTTCTCTCTCCATATGTGGTCAGCCACGCCTGATTTTTCTACTTCCCCTCGCGTTACAGCTTTCTGGTGTTCTTGAAGCCTTACCTTGAGAGAGCCAAGCTGCCCAGGTCTAACATAACAAAACTGGAGAGACTGGCGATTGAATCACTACATTGGAATGAGAACATCATCATACTACCGGCTGACAAAGGTAATGCGACTGTAGTGATGGATAAACCGGACTATACAAGAAAACTGGAAGACCTCATTAGCAATGGTAGCTACAGCATAGTGAAGAAAGATCCTACTATGAAAACGGAACGCAAAACTGTCACAGATCCTAATCAAGAACAAGGATCACTTCGCACCCAAGACGAGATAGGCAGTTATCGCAGCGTTACAGCAAGTTACCTCACATATACGGTCTCCCTAAGATTCACAAAGACGGTATTCCACTCAGGCCGATTGTTAGTTGCCAAGGCTCTGTGTGCCACCCTCTGAGTCGCTTCCTTGTAGATATAATTGACCCATTGATCGGAAAGTCTCCTTCATATGTCCGAAACTCCGCCCACTTCGTGGAAATAATCAAAGATGCTCCCATTCTATCCAACCAGATGGTGAGCTTGGACGTGGTGAGTCTGTTCACCAAGGTACCCACGGAGGAGGCACTCTCAGTAGTCAGAGATAGATTAACCTCTGACTCTTCCCTAGAGGAGCGGACCAGTATTCCAATAGATAATCTGATGGAGATGTTGACTTTCTGTACACAAACAACACACTTCGGAATGGGTTCTCACATATATCGACAGGATGAGGGCTTAGCAATGGGCTCGCCATTATCAATCAATCTCAAATCTTATAGATTAAAAAAGTTAAAGCTTTCAATTTTCTAATATCTATAATAATGCCTACTGGTATAAAAAAAATAGAAAGTTTAAAAACTGAAACAACATTAAAAAATTTCAATAGAAAACAAATTGAGATGATACCAAGTATTATGCTATAGTAAACCTACTTTAAATAAAAGAGGTATGTAAAAAATCTACAAGATTTGGGCTCAATGCACCAGAATAGCAAAAACCACACAACAATCAAACCTTTTTATGAGGAAATTAATTATCAAAAACTATGAGTAGTTGTGATAGAGAAACCAGATGACTCCCCACCCCAAAATAAATGCTGAAAAGTTGCAATATAAAGTGATACTATGGAATCAGACATAGCTGAATATATATGGAAAGAAAACAAAACAAATCATCATTTTTGACATGAGATCAAAAAATAAATAAGGTTAGGTAACTAACTGAAAGGTAGATAAGGTGAAGAAGGTGGCCTGACGAAAGGTTACATAAGACATGTATGTGCCAATTGTTTGTAAAAATACCAAAAGAATTTCCCACAACTGAAAAAGAAAAGTTTAATAAGTATAATTATAACTAGTTAGGTGTTTTTGTTAAACCAAAATGTAAAACCTCGTCTATCAAGTAATTTTTATTTGTTCAGCAACTGTGTTTAAGTCACTCTATACCAACAATTGTTTATAAAAGTGACTTGTGCATTTTACATAAAATATATATATATATATATATATATATATATATATATACACATACCTGTTGAATAATGGCACTGTCTTCCTGGTTTCGTCATTTTCACTCTGAAAATATATAAATATCAAAAATATCAGACAATTACATATTAATTCTCGTGTAGATTCTAACCAATGGTTAATTAACAACAAAAAGAAAATAAAGACTGATTTATTTATTTTTTTTTTACATTTAAATGACAAATAAATTAGAAAGAAGTGAATATACTAAATGTTTGTTAACATAAATGAAATTGCAAAGAGAAAAAAGCTGTTTAAAAAAAAGTAAAATTTAAGCAAAACTTACAGCATCATTCAAAAATAAGCATTCAGTCATAAAATTATGGCATAATCTGTTCATCTATAAAATGCATATTTTGCATTAACTTTTTCTTAATTATTGCTGACTGCAATTTATATTTATTGATCTCTTAGTTGAACAGCTGCTTAAATTTTTCTTTTGATAATTTGTCCTGGATATGACGATAAACTACATCTGGCAGCAAGGCCTCTGATCAGGAGATTGGAGGTTTTGAGGGGTCACTGTTCTATCAAACTATGAATAATTCATACTTCTTAATAATTGCATTAATATGTGCTCTTATCCTATTAAAACCAAATAAATAAATGAATTAAAAATAGCCAAATCAACAAATAAAACTAAGGTAGATTTAGAAATTGTGATATTGAAGTTTTTATGACATAATGAACAAAATACTTTGTTTATCAAGATATCCATTGCAGACAAAAGAAAGTCTGTTTTCTTCTTACGATATATTTAGATATTTATTAAATATCTAATGCAATCTGTTTTGACAAACTGAGGAAAATGTTTTTTTGGATTCAACTTCACATAAGACCCAGAGAAGGATAATCAATATTTACTGGAAAGATATTGAATAAAGATTTACCTTAAAAGGGGCTGAAAACCTGGCCCGCTTGGCAGCTCCAGACTGACTAGGAGCCACAGAACGCCTCATCAGAAATCTGAAAAATAACAAAAATATGAAATAAAATATTCACCAACTATATTTGATAATAAAAGTACTGATGTCAGTATTAAATTTATTTTTAAAAATTAGAAACAATTTTTTAAAATCTGAAGTGTATCTCTCTTACTTAGCATGTGTAATGTGTTTACAACATTGAATGTAAACACAAGTGAGTAAACTTTACATAGATTGTTAGGGTTTTTAATAAAGAACATAAAAGTTTAAAAACAATTTATATTCAAGTAGTAAAATAAGGCTCAAAAAACACTCACACATACAATACATACACATATAATTTATATATACAAGTTTATAAAGTTATACAAATTAAATTCTGTGATCATTCCTGTTTTTTTAATTTTGTGACTATTAAGTTAACTAGTGACAAATATAATTTATACTAAAACACTAATTGAAATTTTAACATTGATTCTCATTAACTTAGGGAGAATAAGAAATGGGTGCTCCATACTTTCGGCCTTGTGCCAAAAGTATGGAGCACCCAGTGTGGAGTTTCTTACTTATTGAATCGACAAGAAGAGTAAAACATTCACCTAAGAAAGACGTGCCATATTGTCATATTATTATTGTTGCTTTAGTTTATTTTACACAATAAGCAATTATAGATCAATTTTAAAGCTTCTCAGAAATATCAATATTTCCAGAAATCTACGAAATGTTTCGTAAGAGATAGAAAAATAGAAATTTTACACTACACTGTAATAGTCACTTCTTAATACAGGCATTTGAATTAAAAAAAGAAAAGGGAATAATTGACATCGAATTTTAAAAATTCGTATTTTTTTACAAAATAAAATTGCACATGTAAAATAAATATTTTTGGTGTATTTCTTCGTTCGAATTTAGTAAATAATAGCAAGTTAGTACTGAAAAGATTTGGTTTCCTACCATAAATAAATACAGAATTCACAATGAATACACGAAAATGTTTCCAGTTGTTTACATATTCATACAAATGTCAAAAAAGAGTACATTTTTAAAGCGTTAGAAAATTTAATTTTTAACCAAATGTGAAAGAAAAATCTTTATGTAGTTCAAATTGTTTATTTTTGTAATTAAAAAATCCATTACAAAAAACATTTTTTATATATTTCAATTTCATAAGTAATAAAAAAGACAAAAAATAAAAGTAAAAAAACGTTACTATTTACTTCCCGTTGTTAATTTTCCTAACCTTGAACCTGAGAAATAATATAACTTATAAAATATTTAGTTTTACTGTACACCAATTATTATGTGTAGTCGTCATTAAATTTTTACTAGCAATAGACAAAAATTATTGATAAGAAAATAATGCAGGGCTGATTGATTCCAAAAGAAAGAATTGCCATTGATTATTGACTTACACAAGAAGCGTACACTTCAATTACGAATGATACACTAGTAAAGGTTGTTACGTACAGATCAATAGTTTGTATATCGATCTCCTAACAAAGGAACACTAACTGATAAATTAAAAAGGGAATAAATATTCATTCAGTGACAATTCACATTTCTCGCAGATATAAGTAAAATGGTTGGACATAAAATGAGGGCCCACTTTATTCTCTTTAATAATTTAATTTCTACTTGTTTTGCAGTTGGGCTACATTAGAAATGCTAATTAAAAATCTCTCCCTCCCAACCAAATAAAAAAAAGAAAAAATTGGGACGGTGTTTAAAAAAAGAAAAAAAAACGAGAAGGACGATTTATAATTCCTGAACTTGAAAAGTAAAAAAAAAAATATCTTGTTTGTTATTCGAGTGATAATCAATTGTTTTTCACATGAACAACATTTCTAATGATATATTAAACTGTAAATGTAAATATAAAAGAGGTTCACCAATGCCTTTGTCCAGTAATAATCTCAAAAAAAAGTCAAACGAAAGTTCAAAACATCAGAACGGTGGATGACTTCTTCCTCCTCCTCTTGTAAGTAATGGGCAATAGTATCAATGCAAATGTTCCCAGACACACACACACCTACGACAACAATGTGGCCACAAAGTGGGGGATCAAATTTCTCAACCATCAAGTCATAAATCCAAAATTATTGTGATACAACTCTTTTTAGTCTTTTGTTTATTTTTTTTTTTCACTTGTAAGATAATTATCGGTCTTATTTCAATATTCATTTTTTTTATTGTAGTAACTATTTTAAACTAATTAACTGAAATAAGGAAAATACCGATACTTCAGAAAAGAAGAGAAAAAAAATCCCATTGTTTTTTAAAAAAAAAAAAAAAAGGGGGGGGGGTTACGTCTATTTGAAAGTTTGGAGAGCCTAAAAAGTTTTTTTTTCTTCATTCTCGTTAAACGAGGTCTCAAAATCTTCTTAACTAAACCTACAAGGACAAAGAAAGATGTCTCGGTCTATCTTTTCAATCGAAGATGAGTGTCCAGGAAATCACTACATTACAATGAATTTGCTTACAGTTTACCGTTTTATGGATGCCCAGTTAAGACATATAGCAATAACTGCAAAGAGACTTTTTTTTTATGCCTCTTTCAAATTCAGTTTTTTTATTATTATTATTGCATTGTAGGTAAGGGAAAAAATCGAAGATACCTTCAAAAGTTGACCGGATAAAATTTTAAGGCTATTAATTAATCTGCTTGTTTTCAGTGGGTTTTTATGACAAAGTGGTCACATATTTCATCCCAACACCATACATAACAATACTAAGTTTCCTTAATGAATGTGTTTTCAGACAGTCTTCTTGTCACAAACAGAATTTATAATTCTTATTTTTATCAAAGTTCTCCTGTTTTTGTTTTTTGTTGTTGTTTTTTTTGTGACATTTCTGAAAGAAACTGTCAAGTTTTCGACGATATGCCTGCTTTTATTTATTTTTTTATTCCACCTCTATCCCTTCAATTCAGACAAGAAGAAACATATTTCAATTCCCCTCCCGCCTCAAAAATAAAGAGAAAAAGTAGCAATGATTTTCATTTACTAAGTTTTTATGCCGTTTTTCGACATGGGATAAAAAAACGGGTGTAGCATGAAGAAATGGAAAACTGGGAACATTATTATTGCAGAAAATGCATTTTTGCTTTAAGTACACGTAAAATATCAACACCATCCGGCATATTTAAATTAAAATTAAGGGAATTTTGTTGATAAAAATAATCAAACTAAAAACTAAAACACCATCATGGTCATCAAGTGGATTATTTTCATTTTTCAATAAATAGTACTAAAACTAAACAAAAAAGAGAAGCTAAGAATCAAATTTATTTATTAGTAAACAATTAAAAAAAACATCCTTAAGAAAAAAAAGAAAACTATTTTTAAAAAACTTTTTAGAAAAATTAACTTTTCATCACCTGGTATTGCAACTTTATTTGACGAATATTATGAAAAAAGAAAAGTGTGTGTATATGTTAGTTATTGTTAATTAATTACAGAAATTAAGGACAAGAAAAAATCTTTTGAAAATCTTACAAGAAATAAATGAGTAAAAAAAAACTAAATAAAAAAAAAAACTTCATTTTGTTTGTTGTTTATAGTGCGTGGCTCTCACTTATTGCAGATTTTCTTTTATTGTCACTAATTATTCATATTTCGTTTTTTTTTTTTTTGTTCAACTACTATGCTAACAAGTTTCTTAAGAAGACAACAACCCGGTTCGCAATATGAATCAAAGCAAAACTGAATAAATGTACAACACAGTTGAGTTGAGTAACAACACCCTTAGTTAAGAAACTAAAAAATCCACTATGAATGTAAAGACGTTTTGCCTTTTTAGTCTTACTTTTTTAGCCATACGTAGAAAAACTAGCACACATTGCAGCGGAGTTGATCACAAAAGTATAGGAAGAATGTGTTGCGCCAATGTTTTAATTGGGGACTGTATCTACAAGGAAGCGTTTGAAAACCTAACATTTTAAAACTTGAGTTGAGACCGAACACAATCACTGGCGCCAATATAGTGTGACTTTGTTGACTTCTATTTGACAATAAAAAAATTATGAATTGTAATAAATAATCGGATTTTTTTTTATCCAAAGAAAATCGCAACAATGAACATTCTTTTTTACTCTCTGTGTTAAAATATTTTCGTAAATAAATGTGAAAAAAAACTTAATTCAAAGTTATTTTTGCTGACGAAAATCAGAAGGAAGAAAGCTTTTAGTTAGTTTGTTTATTTTTTTTAATTAGTGAGTAAAGAAAACAATATTGTTTGACTTACAAACGGCATAAAATTTAACCAGTGTTTCTTTTTAAACAATCTATTCTAAAGAAAGATAAGAGTTGTCGTTTTTTTGGGGGTTTTTTTTTTAAAAATAAAATGCAGCATTTATTAAAAAAAAAAATAAATAAATAAAATCAGCTTACGAAAAAATGCCAATAAATGTCAAAACAAAAAGACCGTCAGTGCAACTAAATCCCTGGTGATTCATGTTTTAGAGATACTTTCTTTGAATAATAAACGAAACGAGATCTTGCACAAAATTGATAATTAAAAAAATATTTGTCATCTTATGGACAAGCCAAAGTCTACGTTTCGAGTCACTAAAAGTAAAGAAACAATACAATTGTAAACAATTTATTTACAATTTTAAGTACTTTAATGTTAAAAATACTTTTGTAAATACATTTGTATTTGAATTGAATAATAAAAGAAGCAAATGACTTTTGATCTTGGTTTGATTTAAAGCTAAATCCCGTCTTTCCAACTAGTGGCATTTGACAAAAAAATCATGTCATTTAAAATATAAATTATAAAGGAAAATTCAAAATCAATTGAAGGCGTGATTTTTAGTTAGATTTTTATAAACAATCAATAAAAAAATGTTCCTGGATTTTTTGTTTATGATGTATTTGTTTTTATTTAATTTATTTAATCGATTTTTTTTAGCAAATTGAATGGTGAGTAGTGTGCACATTGATTTTTGCATAAAAAAACTTTCTTTTTTTTAATATTTTATTGCTTTAACTTTAAATTGGATAAGCTTTAAAATTTTCTTATTATTATTTGTACAAAGTA